TCCTCCTCCTCCTCCTCCTCCCCCAGACCACGAGACCAATCTACGCTCAGAAGAACATACTTTGTCTCCCATGCGGACGCCAGCTATGTATCCTTGCGAATCTTGGGAGAGGGAGGTCAGCGGAGGGGTCTTGGAGGCAGAAGAAGTGACCGGGAAGGGAGGGGCAGAGATGATGACTGAGTCTTGCTTTGTCATGAAGACCAACCCTAACAGTCATTCATGAAAATTCAATCGACTCCCTCCCTCCCTCCCTCCCTCCCTGCCCTCTCATTATCTGTCATTCTCTCTCTGGTTCCCTTCTATTCCTCCCTCCGTCCCTCCGTCCCTCCGTCCCTCCGTCCCTCCGTCCCTCCGTCCCTCCCTCCGCTCTTCTCCGCTTGTCATTGTCTCATCCCGTTCTCAATGTCTCACTGTCTCACCGATTCCCGTGGGGTCGTACTTCGAGAGTGTTTTGAGCTGACAGGAATATCAGCGATACAGTCTGCAAGGTTGCAGTAGCAACTTCATCAGGAGGGATGAATCGTGAGTAGACATCTCCTAGTTGTTTCACAATCTTCTTTATCTGCAGTTTGCAGGATCGGTATGCAATCTGAGCAAGGACAGAACAAACTAGTCACCAACCTCTTGGTAAGCTGCGCTTTGAGTAGAGAATGATCGACTCTTCAAGTCTGCTCGCACATCCTGTATATCAACACCATTGTAAACATGCCTCTCCGCGCTGTCTCTGCACAATGATCAGACTCGAGGGCTTCTGACCGACTTGGATCATAGTCCTACTTGGGGCCCAAGGGGTTGGTCTTGTCGAAGTACTTGGCATCAATCAGGTCCAACACCTTGCCCTTGGTTGAGAAGGACGAGGATCGAGATAGTCGCTATCGACATACTTCATCGACGATGGTATGATGCTGAGCAAGCGCAAGTCATACTACGTGGTTGACACCCAGGGAAGTACCTCGTCATCGGGGAAGATAGTCTTTGTCTGTGAACAAGGTCACCATTCTAAAGAGGGCTGTCATCATACCTGAGTGTGATCATCGCAGGAAAATGCCGATCCTGAGCATCTGGAGCATGCAGTGAGGAGCTTGTCATGCTTGCAAGCTGTGGGAAGCGCATGGGGTACCTGCTCATCGCACTTTCCTTCAGCGGAGGGTCGTCAGGTCCGGCAGACAAGGACACCTGGAAGGATGGGTACAACGGGGTTACAAGGATGATAGCAGCATGCTTTGCTGAACATGGCATCACCTCTGAATCTATCAATCCACACAGGAGGCAAAGAGAAAGCGCCATGAAAACGGAGAACATCCGCATCTTGTTCGGTCTGCGCGTCCTTGACCTTGGAGGCAGAGTAAGCCAAACAAAGAGGAGGCTTGAAGAGTAAGGAACAACCTCTCGAGCATCTTCTGGATCTTCGGTTGTTGCCACGTCTCCTGCCCATCTCGACTCATGCAGCTCTGCCCACACGTCTCGTTATGCTGCCTCCCCCTTCAACCAACGCATACCCTTGAGCTCGATGCATGAAAGAAGGCAGGTTGTTTGCTGTGCAGCAGCTGGTCCCATGGACCATATCCTCTTGCAGGCCTCCTCGTCATACACGCGAATATCCCTCCTCCTCCTCCTGCTCCTCCTCCTCCCTCCTGCCATCCCGCCATTGCGCGCCATTGCGCAATGACGCCGACGAGCCGCATTTTTACCCAGGGATCAAGGCAGAAAAGCTTGAATGCAAAGGAATTTGCTAAGATGACTCAGTGTCTTTATGTATTACTATGTTTTGGCTCTGAGGGGAGCTGCAGAAGGGTCGGGAAGGGCAGGATACAGAAAATGGCCGTGCGGGTCATGACGACGATGCGAAGCCTGAGCAAAGTCGGTGTGGACTTGGACGTCTTGAAGAGACAGACCGAGGTCGATGCATGCTGTGATGCGAGGAGAGGGGAGAGGAGAGGGGAAGGGGAGGAGGGATGGGAGGGGAGGAGTTCACGAGGAGATGCGATACGATGCGGTATGAATGGGATGTGGTATGGTATAGTATGGTATAGTATAGAGTGGTATGATGTAGTTGTTTTGATACAAGCCTGTGTGCTTGCTTTGACTCGGTCCTGTCAGTGTCTTATGAGCGCCGCACACCTGGACGATTGGAGTCTCGGTACCGCTATTTCCTTGCTTGTTTTCCTGATCCCCTTCTCCTACTGAAAATCTTCTCTTGGGGATGATTGTGAACGGAGATTGTCTTTCCCAAGTCTTTTATCCTGACAGCGGATGTTACCATTTCAGATGTGCATCTCGCGAACAACCACAACATGAAGACCTTTAACAGCAAATACCGCGGCAAAGACAAGGCCACCGACATCTTGACGTTCCCTTTCCACGAGCATCTTTATCCTGGACAGGAAACAACCAGCAATGGTTGGCGGCATGGAAATGAATGACGAGTACTACTCAGGCACTCAAGAACATCCCGAAGGAGGAGCGGGTCCTGGGAGAGATTGTCATCGCCATTCCTTACGTGAGGTGAGCATGGGGATCATGAGCCTTGCTCTCTGTGACCTCAAGGACGTCCTCCATCAGTCGATGGTGTGTGAAGAACAAAGTCCCCATCGCAACGAGGCTGCCAGGTCAAAAAGCTGTTCCTGTTGTGCGTCATGCTCAAGACTGGATTCAGAGCTCATGGCGCATGGGATTTGTCACTGTCTGCACTACGATCATGAGAACGAATTCGATTATCGGTAAGGCGCGTCTGTCTACCAACACCCTGAACCGGGGTGATTATGAATGCCATTCGCTCACACATGGTACTTGTCAGTATCATGAAGGCAAGGGAGCTTCTGTTATTGAGGAAGGTGAGGACGGAGAGTTGGGAGGCAGCGGTGTACATGGGTGGCTCAGTCAGACATGTTTCCCAGATGCAGTCCTCACTGCAAGTCGATTCCAGCCAGCCAGCGGAGGAAACGCTGAAACCACATCCTCTGACTCAAGTGCAGCCGGAGGAGTAGGTAGAAAATGCGGCGCAAGATGTGGGCCTGTCCCCCACACAATAAGAGCCGGGCCCGGCGATGAAAGTTATGTTGTCATTAATATTCTGAATTTGATCTGCAATGGTTTGGATCGCGTGCTAACACCGACTAGCCTGATCTTTCAGTTCTGCCTCATACTAGTGACGAGCGGTAGACCATAACGTCCTGCTCCTCAGTCGAGTGCTCGGTCGGCCTCGAGCATGACTCTGCATCGGCCTCACAGCTGCGCCAGACTCACTGAGACGAACTTCCGAAGTACGTCTCGGGTGTCAAGCCCGGGGCGCGCGGCCCGGGGAGCCGAATCACGGTTTACTCAAGAGGAGTCAGAAAGCTAGTCGTTGTGGGCTGATGTCCAGCCATTGACCCTTCAGACGGGCACTTGGCGCAGAAGGAAGAAAAGTTCGTCTCTTGTTCTTGTTCCTCCAGTGTCAGCGTGCTGCTTGTATCTTGACCGTCGTCGCTCCCCCCTTGCTTCGTAGAGGCACTGACTGCAATGAAAGAGATCGTCTGATCTGCCCCTCCTCTCTCCCCCACTTGCTCCATCGGGAGGTACCCGGTAAGGTCTCGATACCCCCCAACCTCCCAGTTTGACTCCGCCATCTCGATCAGCGCTTGTACGGCAGAGAGCATGTGATCTGCAGGGAGGAAGCTCAGCGTGAATTTCTCGTGTTCGTGCGCAGCATTTCGTTCCACCCCCATCAGGATTTGTTGGTCTGCGCTCCTAAAGGTCCCCAGGGCCATTTTTCCGGGTCGGGACAGGATCTCCTCTATCCACCGGCAGACGTCCTCTGCCTCTTCCGTCACTTCATGTACAACTCTGCGCAGCTCTTGCCCCGAGCAGCGGATCGTGTTGGGTTGATGCTTAGACTCCACGTGGCACATGAAGGGCTCCTTTGGAACCAAGTCCTCCTCGCGCTCTGTCGCGTCTGATATTCTGTTGTCCACCGCCCCCAGCCTGGCCTGTTGTTGATTGCAGATTCGATTGAAAAACTCCTGATCTTCCTCCATGCAGGCTGCCTCAAATCTCTCAATCTTGCTACGCATCTCCAACTGCAGCTCAGCCTCTGAGGAGTCCAGCTCCGTCCTGGATGACGTTGTAGTCCGGGAGAGCTCAGCGAGTTCGCGTCCGAGGCTGAGCTCGCTCATACCTCGCTGCGGCTCCATCGGTTCTTCGTTGCTGCATCCCTCTTTTGCGTGCCGTCCTGCTGAATCTTCTGCATCGAGTATCATGACATTGACCTGCTGTTCTCCCCATGCCTTTGGATCACGCACACTACTGCAGGTAAGTGCAGTCCTCTGAACTTTGCCGCTGCCCCTGGTGTTTCTTCGCCTCGAAGTAGCAGGAGAGTTGAAATGAATCAAATCCAACTTTGGAATCACTTGTAATGCGTCAGAGAACTGTGTGTCTACCTGAACCGCTATGGCTCGATGTTGTAAATATGCACTCGCCACGCCCGCGTGAAAAGTTTGGAACGTGAGCACTATGTTGTGGTGTTCGTCAGCGCCCGGAGGGCTGATAGCAAGGAAAGCATAGAGTTTCGCCTCTATTCCCCATTTCCAGGGCCGAAAGGAGTCGGAGAAGTAATTGTCCTCAATGCTGGACTCCTCGCACATAACACGCCGATCCGCGCCGAGATCCGCAAGGAACTTCGCCATGGACGGGTCCGACCTTGTTGTAGCCGGGGATTCCACCAAGCGTCTCCGCACCACAGTGTCTGTGCTGAAGGTGGACGCATTGAAGTCCCCTCCTATGAAATGGAGTTGCGTTGTTGCAAGGGAGAACTCTAGCAGAGATCTGAAGAACTTCTCCCGCTCCCTGATTGCATTCCTGGTAGGGAACTGATGCACGTTCGTGATGATTGCCTTGCCTACTCGCACCGACAAGATTCGATGCGGAAAGAGCATCGTTGGAGAGCGCATGACGGGGGCAGGTGCGAGCGCTGCGTGAACGAGGGTGGCCAGGCGAAAGTCGATATACCCATTGGCCTTGGTTGGCTTTCCGTGAGCCATGAAGATCCTGTAGTAGCCCCAGTTCAGCTTGATAAGCTTGCGCAACTTTGTCTCATGCCGATTGGAGACACAAACGCCTTGCAGGAGGATAATTCCTGGTTTGAAAGGCTCGATCAAAGCAGCGAGCACTCGCAGCAGAGTAGCGTGGTCGCAGCCGTTGACATTTTGCGAGACTATGAAGCCTGGCTCCGAGCATCTCTGCTGAATTTCCAACCAGCTCTCCCGGCTCCTTACCTCAGAGCTCTGTTGCTCCAATGGCTCCTTGCTTTCCCAGTCGAGCTCCGCAGGCTCCCAATCTAGGTTGGTGAAACATGTTGGCGGATCTTCCGATGTGTCCTCGTGCGTTTCGAGCTCGCTCTCGCTCGATACTGGATCCTTACACGATGCGTCCTCTTGCATCTTGAGTTCACCTCATACGGACAAGCACGCAGATCTGAGGGAGGAGACGGCGACGAGGGAGACAACCGAAATCATGCGCGCTACCTTCATGGGCATCAAAGGTACCATAGTGGTAAATCAGCGGGAAGACAGCTGTAGGAAGCTGAAGAGGGATTGATAGACATGGAAGCGTCAAAGGAGATGCCGCAGCCCTTCGTAGTTCACCACAGGGAGTGAACGAGGCAGAGCAGGATGCAAGCGGGGGCTTCACGAAGATGAGAACGGGAGAGGGGGAGTAATCAGGAGCAGCAAGCAGGGCAGAGGACTATCATGCAAGGCTGTGTGTGCACAGCAGCTGACCTGACCTTGGAAGCTGCTCTAGCAGCAGCAGCACGCAGCATTTCGGCAAGCCGCAGGCATGTTTGTAGCCTCCTCGACTGATTGTCCTCGTACTGATTTTTAACTTAAAATTTTGAGTAAAAGAGTTTGTAAACGGTTTGCCGGGCCATGCCACCCGGCCTTTGCCGGGCCCGGTCCGATTGACAGTGGGACAGTAGCCGAGCCCGCCTAGTACGAAATTCCAACAGAGCGGGGATGAGGGTAGGGAGCCAACGGCTGATGGCGGCGATGCTCGGGTGCCGTGTGGCGATTGGGAGATGGCGGAGGAAGCAAAGGTAGAGGAGAAGGGAGGAAGGAGTTCAAAACCAAGAGGTAGATAGTTCAAGAGGAAGCTTGTTCCTACCACTATGCCCAAGTTCGATGATGAGACGCTGGCGAAGCTGCAGGAGAAGCTCATCGCCGCCGGGTACACGGACGGGGAGTGGAGGAGCATCATGCTTGAGCACTATAATGAGGACTACGAGCACATGGCAGAATTTGCGAAGCGGAGGGCGGAGGAGCGAGAGAAGAGGAGGCTGGCCATGGATATATCCAAGGAAACCAGCTTCCTGTCCTCCCATGGCGCTTCCAGGACGGACCCGGCGCTCACTGGGAACGTGCAAGCTCTGCTCGAGAACACTTTTCAAGATTATTTCACCACCCCTCCTGTCTCGGATCAAGATCGGAAGCTTCCTTTTGAGCTTGCCCCGCCCTCCCAGCCCATCTCCCACACCATCGGTACTACTGCGCCGGGAAAGGGCGGAGTGGCGAGCTCTGGGCCGGTTAGGATCAAGGCGATCATGGAGGAAGAGGAAGAGAAGGAGGGGGTAGCCGAAGAAAAGCCTTCGGAAGAAGCTCAGGCAGAGGGCGAGGAGGAGGGAGGAGAGACGAAAAAGAAGGCACCTGAGCCCATCGACGAAGACGAGCTTATGTTCATCTGGAACCGACGGGAGGCCCCGCAGCACCGGCGGCCCAAGGTCGATCAAGCTCTGGAGCAGAAGCTCCAGGATGTGCAGAAGATCGAGGAGACGATGAACGTCCGGCGCAACGAGATCATCGAGCAGGACAAGGCGTTCTGGGCCACGATTGGAGTCAGCGACGAGCACCCGGACGGGACCATAGCCTCCGGGCAGTTCTCTCAGTTCCTTGCCAAGACGGAGAAGAAGCCGACGGCTCTGGTCATGGACGGGCAGCACCAGACAGCTCGCTGGGCTCTGGAGGTGGCAGAGGAGGCCGAGCAACCGGATTTTCGCAGCGCCATCCTGCCTATCGGACCCCCCAAGGTCGAGCACGACGAGAGCATACTCAAGGAAAATTTCCTCATCAGCACGAGGGCCGACCTGGAGACGATGGAACAGTCGATGCTGAGAGAGTCGCTGGGCCCTTCGAAGCTGGAGATGCCCCCGGACGCCGACCCGCACTACATGAACACTACCTTCTTCAAGACGGCCCACTCGATGAACGCGGCCTCCAAGTCGCCGCGTCCCGACGAGGGCACGATGAAGACCGTGGGGATGCAAACGACGCAGGCGCTGCAGGAGATGGCCAAGGAGACTGAGCAGAGGATACAAGAGGTGCAGAGGAGGCTGAAGAAGACGATCATCAAGGATGCTGGGGAGAAATTGGACATCCCTGCTATCCTCCTCCGCAAGTTCAACTATCTCAAGAATCCTCGCTATAAAGACCCCCCCGTGGACTTCAGGGGGCTGGTGGACAGCATTCAGCAGGGAACGATCAAGGAGGAGACGAAGAAGGGAGAGGAGACTTTCAGCCTAGTCGGCCCTGCCGTCTTCGTCCCGAAGCCTCAGGTCGTGCAGTTCACTGAGTATGAGGTGGACAAGACGTATGAGCTTCCGCTGAAGCTGCAGAACGTCACGGGCATCTTGAGGAGGATCAGGATCATGCCCCCAGCCTCGGAGCACTTCTCCGTGTCGCTAGTGAAGTACCTCGGGGAGGACGGGCTAGTCGCTCCAGGCATGTACTGCATGGTACACATTCGCTTCAACCCAGACACGCTTGCTGACTACGAAGACACGCTGCACGTGGTGACAGAGAAGGGGCTGATCGCCATCCCCCTCCTCGCTCGCCGCCTCCCTCCGAACCTGACGCTCCCCGACGTGATCGACATCGGGAACTGCTTCGTGGACGACATGAAGCGCGTGGTTATCCCGTGCAGGAACCAGGGAGGGAAGGGGCAGTTCATCCTTGTGCCGGACTCAGAGTGGCCCCAGCCGCCGGACGACGTGAAGAATCGGGAGGTAGTGAGCATGCCCCCGTTCCGCTTCAGCCCGTCGAGCTGGGAGCTCAACGGCGGAGAGGAGCTGGACATCACCGTGGAGTTCTGCCCGGCACGGAATGGCAAGTTCTCCGTTGGCTTCCGGCTCGTCTGCGACAACTGCTCCGTGCAGCAGTACCAGCTGGTGGGTACCGCCATCACCCCCTCCTTCCAGCTGGTGCAGCTGGACTCCCTGCTGGTCGTGCCCCCCCTCTCCGAGATGCTGCGGCCCCGGGTCGACCTCTCGTTCCCCAACCTCGCCCCCGGCGCTTACCAGGAGAAGCTGGTGACGCTGCAGAACAGGACACCCCTGGAGATGGACTTCAGGTGGGAGGTCGATCATACCCCCACCCCCCACACGAACCTCAACTCGTACGTGAGCAAGTGGGGTAAGGTCGGGCAGAGCCACCAGGTCTTCTCCATCCTCCCCATCAGCGGCACCTTCGCTCCCAACCAGACTCTCAGCTTCCAAATCCAGTTCGCTCCCGTCGACTGCGCCGCGTACGAGGGGGTTGCCCGCCTGCTCGTCCCGAACCTCCCATGCCCGAGGGAGGAGGGGGAGGGAGAGGGGGACTTCGGGGCCTCGGGGTACAGGTACAAGGAGTACGAGATGTCGAGAGTGCAGCTGAAGGGGACGGGGCATGAGTGCGAGGTCGCCATCGACCCGCTGGTGCTGGTGGTGGCGCAGAAGTTGAGCGTCGGGAAGGTCTACTGTCGACCTGTGACTGTCAGGAACTTGAGTGACGCCCCCGTCTCGATCTCGTGGGAGAAGTATCCCGACCTGCTCTATCAGACCGTCAGGGTCCTGCCCGACAAGCTCGTCCTCGCTCCGAGGGAGGAGAAGAAGCTCAAGGTCGAGATCGCTCCCAAGGTCGTCGCTCCCCTGCAGGTAGTCCATCCCTCCCGCTCCTCCTCCCGCTCCTCCCTGGTCTGTTCTAGGATGCTCTTCAATCCTTTCCCTTGCTGTCCCTCCCATCCCTTGCCTTCTCCTCTTTCCTCTTTCCTCTTTCCTCCTCCTCACCTCTCCTCCAGGTCTCCCTTGCGTGCAACGTAGAGCACGGCTCCTCTCAGATCTTCACTGTCATCGCCGAGACGGACGGGCCCCGCGTCCGTATCACCAGCACTCACCTTGACTTTGGGCTGATGCGGGTGGGCTGGAGAGCAAAGAAGAAAATCTCCTTCCTCAACATCTGCGACGTCTCCGCCCGTTGGTCAGTCTCCCTCTACCGCGCCGGCACCTCCGATCCATGGGGCCCGACCATGACCGTGTCTCCATCCCATGGCATCCTCGACGCCGGCAAGACGGCGACGGTGGAGGTGGAGTTCCGTCCGGAGGAGCCGGAAAGGATGAGGAGTACGCTGGTGGTGGAGGTGGAGGGAGGGCAGACCGAGTTCTTGTCCCTGCGGGGAGAGGTAGTGTTCTCCAAGGTGTGCCTCGACACTTCCGTGCTTGACCTCGGGACGATCTTCCTCGCCGTTCCGGTGACAAGGAGGATCACGATGAGGAACCTGACCCTCCTCCCCTCCACTCCCTTCCGCTGGGACATGCGAACCATCGAGGCGCTGCGGGACCCGAGCACCGCCTCCTTCAAGCTTCAGTTCAGAGTCGTCGAGGGGATCCTTGGCCCTGAGGAGGAGCAGCAGGTATATGGTGCAACCTGCGCTACTTGAAATCTGACTGAGCTGTCTCCTACTTGCCTCCTCCTGCTCTTCCTCCCTGTGTCTTCCCTCCTCCTCCTCCCTCCCTTCAGGTCGACATGACCATCGAGGCCATCAGCCTGGGTGAAGCAACGGAGGAGCAGAGCGCGCTAGAGGAGCAAGGGGAGCAGCTGGGATCGGTCAGCAACCCAGGTGCATAAACACAAGTTCATTCTTCTTCTTTGCTCTGTACACCTTCTTCCCACTTTTCCTCCCCTCCCCTCCTCTCCTCTCCACTCCTCTCCCCTCCTCTCCCCTCCTCCCCTCTCCTCTCCCTCCTCCCCTCCAATCTCCTCCTCACCTCCCCTGCAGGCATCCTCAACTCGCTCGTCCCCCTCCACGTGGAAGGCATGCCCGAGCTGACTGGCTTCGAGCTGCGAGCTCGCGTCATGGGGCTGGCCGTCACCTATCATCTCGGAACCATCGAGAGCATCGAGCCGGTCCCAGACGCGCTTCGTGGGACTCCAGCAGCGCTCAAGGTGGGGGTGAGGAAGGACTGGCCACGGGAGCTGGTGGGGGTTGAGAGCTCGGTGCCGATCGTGCTGGACTTCGGGGAGAGGAAGATGATGGAGAAGCACAGCATGACGTTTGTAGTTCGCAACCACACCGGGATCGAGGCTGCGTTCAACCTCCACGCCGAGGAGTTCGGGGTGCCGGAGCACGAGATGGAGATGATCGCCCGAGCTGACGCGGGGGAGGAGGCGAGGCCGACAAGAGACCTCCTGCGCGGGTTCTCCTCGGCCTCCAGCACCTCCGACAGGCTGCGCCGGGGAGGAGAGCAGACGACCAAGATCAGGTTCGCCGACACGACCATGGGCAAGGAGTCGCAGCCCCTGACGCAGACGCGCGCGTCTGAGAGGACGAGCACTTCCTTGAAGCCTTCCTCGGCTCCTCGCTCTCGCAAGCACACCGGCACCATCGCCTCCATCAGAATGGGAGCAACCATGCAGCGAGCGGTCTCGACCGGCCCGGCAGGAAGGTCCTTGACGCAGGCAGAGATCGCGATGAGGAAGAACCGAGTCAGCGCGCCCTACGTGAAAGACGCAGAGAGGCAGCTGGACGCGGGGCTGAGGAGGGGGCATGCGAGCATCCAGCTCCTTCAGTCCTCCAAGGTCAAGGAGGAGAACACTCGCCTCCGGTCCACCGCGCTCTGGTGCTTGCCAGGGGACCACTCGTCCATCGCCTCGCGTGGACGGTCGCACACGGGGCAGCAGGCAAGCAAGCTGATCCTCTCGGACGACCACGAGGAGGTGGAGAGGTTCCGGTCGATGCACGGGCAGAAGCTGCTGAACCAGAGGAGCGCGGCGCAGGAGGCGTTCAGGATGCTGGAGGGCGGGAAGGGCTTCGCTGTCACGTGCTCCACCTACACCGGGAGGATCGAGCCGTGGGGGGAGGTGGAGGTGCGAGTGGACCTCTTCTCAGATGTTTGCGGCATCTTCAGGGACAGGCTGGTGGTCGAGGTGATCGGCCTTCCGGTCGTGCACATCCCCGTGCTGGGGAAGCTGGTGGGGTCCCCGGTGGGGATGGAGGGGGGGTCCCTGGGGCTGAACCTCCTGGGGGAGGTGCCCTCAGTGGACTTTGGGGACATCCTGATCAACGGGCAGAGCCAGACGCGGTCGCTACGGGTGAGGAACTCGTCGCCATGGCCCCTCCTCGTAGACTGGCAGCTGCTGGAGTCAGCTCCCCCCAACGAGAAGAACCTGATCCAGCTGAGCTCCGTGGTGGGCGAGGACGGGACCGTCTCCTACCAGCTCGCCGCCGTCGAGCCTCCGGAGGCCAAGAGCACTCCCTTTACCCTGACGCCTCACAGAATGGCGATACCCGCTCACTCGACCAAGACCGTCGACGTCTCTTGCCAGTGGCACAAGCCCCAGCACCACGACAACTTCCTGGTAGGCTCCGTCTCCTTCCTGTCCAAGGACATGGAGGGCAGCCTGGCAGAGGTGGAGGAGGAGGGGGCGGAGCTGCTGCTGGAGGAGCTGCGGGATCGGGAGACGGCGAGCGTGGCGGATTTACAGGAGAGGGCGACGGGGATGGAGCTGGTGGACGTCGAGCAGCTCGTGCTCGCCCTGCGCTGCGAGGTGACGAACGCGAGGCTGGAGGCAGACTGCCACAAGCACCTCAAGTGGATCTGCAGCTCCTCCAACGACTGGAGGTCGCACGCGTCCTACGTGAAGGAGCTCGTGCTGTCGAACCGGGGAAGGTGCAACCAGACCTTTGCGCTCAAGACCAACTCCCCCTTCTCCATCGACTCCACCGTCTGCACTGCCCCCGTCCACCCCATGGCGCGGGCAGGAGACATCGACCCTGCCTCCTCAAAGCCGCAGCTGTTCATCCTCCCGCCCAAGGACAATCTGGTCGTCCGCGTGCGCTTCACCCCCCCGAGCAAGCATCGCTCAGGGCGCGTGGTGGATGACCAGGTGCTGTTCGGGGAGCTTGTCATGCTCTTCAGCAACGAGGAGGTTCAGAGGATCGAGCTTGAGGCTCAGATCAAACACCCACAGCTGGACATCTTGCCGGAGGAGCTAAATTTCAACACCCTCCATGTTGAGTCGACTGCCGTCCTGACCCTCGCGCTCTGCAACCCGACGTATGCCGATGCTCACTTCAAAATCGTGCACGCCCCCAAGCTCCTCACCATGACCTCCGCCCTCCACGCGGAGGGATCCTCCTCCAATTTCAAAGGTGCGGCTGCTCTCCTCCCCTGCCCTTCTTCGTATGCCATGCTTGCCGCTACTTGCAGCATGCTCATGATTGTCCCCCATCCCTCCCTCTTTCCCTCCCTGTCTCCCTGTCTCCCTCCCTCCCTGTCTCCCTGTCTCCCTGTCTCCCTCCCTGTCTCCCTCCCTCCCTCACTCACTCCTTCCCTCCCTCCCTGTCTCCCTCCCTCCCTCACTCACTCCTTCCCTCCCTCCCTGTCTCCCTCACTCACTCACTCACTCACGTCCCTACCTCAACCTTCCTTTCTTCCTGACTTGCACGCAGCCCTCACAGCCCGCACGGTGGAGACAACGGTGGACGACGCCGAAGTCTTCTCCTTCGAGCCTCAGTCGGGCGTCATCCGAGGCAACCTCCTCCGCCCCACCATCCCCGAGTCAGTCATCCTCACCGTCCGCTTCAACCCCAAGAAGAACGTGGACTACAGGAGCCGCTTCAAGGTTGAGATCGAAGGAGGAAGGGGAGGCTACTTCACCCTGCTAGGCTCTGGATCCTACGACGAGAGCAAGGAGCCAGGAGGAGCAACAGGCATCATCCGTGATCACCCGGGCTTCCATCCCCTCATGACCGGCGTCCGAGGACCGATCGTGCCCGGGGAACAGGAGCGGGGGGCAAGGCCGTTGGCTCCTCCTCCTCCGATGAGTCTGCCGTCCTGGTAGGATGCGACGTGGTGGGGGTGAGCGGGGCGCTGACTTTCGAGCAGGTACAACATGGACCAGAGCATGCAGCCCCAGCATCTCACCAAGCACACGCTGCGATGATGGCGCATGGAAAGGCGGAGAGATAAAGGAGGGGAGAAGGGACCAAGGGAGACGAAGACTAGGACGAGGACGAAGAGGAAGAGGGGAGGGGGCGGAGCGGAGGGAGCGGAGGGAAGAAGGAGCAAGGAGGCGACTTATGTGATGGGTTGGCTTCGTTGAATGTACATAGAAACATCGCGATGCGGTCGAGACGCTCTGTGGGGCTGCGCAAGCACCCCTTCCACATCAGCAGCCTGAGTAATAGCGCATGATGAAAGTGACAGCTGTAGCGAAAGAAATCCCGTCAGAAGAGGAGGAGGAGGAGGAGGAGAGACGAGGAGGAGGAGGAGGAGGAGGAGGAGGAGGAGCGAGAGCAGGAGGAGCAGGAGGAGGAGTGTTGTAGGTGGAGGAGCAGGAGAAGAGAAGGGAGGAGGGAGGAGACCGAAGCCGATGCCGATGAGGAGGGGAAGGTGAACGTCCGGAAGAATTTCCTGAGAAGGGTCAGAAGCTGGGAGGTAGAAGGGTTCGTAGCGGACCAGCGCCAAGTTCAAATTTTGGTTGCGCACCTGCTGCTTCCTGTAGTATCTGATGAACACGAGAAGAGGTCAATTGACAAAAAGTGACTTTGATGCAAATGTCACCTCACAGCAGAGATCATCTTTTTCTTCCTTGTTGGCACGCACGTGCCGTACACGTACTCGTCGATATTCTTGTCGTTCTTAGTTAGTCTCCCCCTCCTGCTCTACCTCCTCACCTGGATGAAGATGATGGCTACTGTCGATCGTATGACCTCCTCCTGCATCGCCCGTCAATGCTGATCTTTCAGAGGGCAACGCAGTTCCATCAACCATAGTCATCGAGTTAAAGATGAACAGAATTCCTGTGATTATACAACCGAACCTACACTGAGTGATGAGTGCCACAGGAGCAGGAGAAGGAGCAGGAGCAGGAGCAGGAGCAGGAGAAGGAGCAGGAGCAGGAGCAGGAGCAGGAGCAGGAGCAGGAGCAGGAGCAGGAGCAGCATGATGAACAGAACAAGGAGGAACGGGCAAAAGAACAAGGCAGACAATACCAAGCTCCCCACTCCGTCACCACCGCAAACAGGAAGGTCTGAATAGGAAGATCAGTTCAACTGGGAGGTCAGCAACCCCAGGCATGTTTCAGTCACCAGGCATCTCTTGGGAAAGGAGACGTTAATTTCCTTGAGGCCATCTGTCGGGTTGACGCATCAGAGATTCTCCATTCCATTCTCACCTTCACCTTCTGTCTCCACATAACAGCACCGGAAGACAATGTTGCAACCGCGAAAGCTTCCAGGAAGTCTGTTGAGCATGATGCAGCAGTACACTGACGTTGCTGCCAGCTGCAGACGTGTAAGTTCGACATGTTGGACAACAAGGCAAGGAAAGCACATGCAGCCAAGTCGGAACTTCGCACAGAGATGGTTTGTCAAGGACACACCGCCATGCATCTCTGCTGTTTACACAATCTTGCCGCACAATCTGCGAAGGCATCAGAGCAAGTGGGTTCTGACCCGTGTCATCAATCATACCTTCCATAGGTAGTAGGTGAACACAGACTGTGTCATACACGAGACGATCACCATCAGGCCGAAACCATGGAAGGCCAGGAAAATCGAGTTGTGCATGCTGGAGTAGATGAAGGCACCGTACGCATTGTCGCTCGTCGCCCCCATGTCCTCCAGCCCATCCTGTGGCAGTAAGAACCTTTACAACGCCTGCGAAAGGAAGGCGGGGCAGGAGCTGCATTTCAAGGGGTGATAAGTGGGCAGGGAGGGCCCGGGGAGCGAAGGGGGGAAGGCAGGATGGTGGAGCGAAGGTAGGAAGGGGTAGGAGGGAGGGGTGCTTCCGAAGGAGGAAGGCAGAACGATCATCTCACCATAGATTTTGAGTCTAGCTGTTTCTCCACCTTCCCTCCTCCCTGCGCGTCTTCCTGCGGGCCCTCAGAGACGTTCAGGTTCCTTGCGACTTGCGCCGAGCTGATCGCATGGCTCGTGCCGACAGCCTGCACATCACGAGCATCCGCGAGAGTGCTCAGGTACTGCTCGACGACAGAAAGCCGTTCACGGAGCTCGACGACCTCGTTGTAGTCGACAGCACCATTCTGCTCTGACTTAGGGAAGGACAGCCAACCGAAGTCCCCTGAAGTCGCAGAGTCCATCGCACCGTTGCCTGAGGGACCCCACAGGCTGTGACCCTGTCAAAGTGAACGCAGTCAGACCTCTTCAGCACCAATACATTGAAAGTCATTGGAAGCACGAGCAGGCTAGAGATGTCTGTGGGGCGTTAGAGGCTTGTAATGGCCCTGTTCCCGGGTCTAATCGATTATCATCACTGCTCAGTTATGAAAGTATTGCTTGCTGCCCTGATCTCAATGAATGTTGAATGAAGGTTTGCCAGGGCAGCTCTCAGCTGGCAAGAGTGAATCTGCTATCATGCCAGCGGAAGCGGCGGCCTGAGGACCGCATCGCCGATCATTATTATTATGATGTAGAATGACTTTTTGTTTTCTTCAGCGAGGAGCCACTGAGCCTGGTCAACTCAGTTCATTTCAGTCCAAGTCGTTGGCCCGGCAACTTTGCCTGCCGGCCCGGGCCACGGGCCCGGCGGCAACTTTGCCTGCCACCGGTGGCCCCGGGTACCGTCCAGCGTCGCTGTGCGGACCAAGCCGGTGGCAGCACCGTGTACACCAGCTAAGCTTGCAGGTGACTTTGGGATGTGACTGGCCCGTGGTGCGTTATACCGGGAGGGGTGGTCTAGAGCCCGGGCCAGTACGGTCCAAGGGCATTGGGGCCGTACCGGTAGTACTACCGTACCGTACTATCATGCCAGCATAGGACTAAAAGATTTTCAGTGTATCCCGGGGTGGGGGCCGGTGGGGTGGGGTGGGTGGGTGGGCACTTTGTGTGGTAGCCTGGGTGGGGAAGATAACAAAAACTCGGACACCGGTAGTACTGATGGAGGTTTACAGGGGTAGTCCGAGCCGGGGTACGGTAGTGGGCGTTGCTACAGTACCCGTACGGGGTAGTAGTTGCCGAACCGAACCACTGAGTTCATGGCGATAGGAGCGCTGCACGAAGAGGCATGATGGCAGGGGATCAAGAAGTCAGGATAGCGTGTTTGAGGACACTTATGTAGCAGGAGGGGGTAGAGCGAGTGTGTGGTGGACCCAACGAAGATGTTTTATGTCAGTTGCCATGATTTGTATGTATCTGATCCCTGCTCCTTCCCCCTGAAGTTGCGATTGATCCATCCTTTCTACAACTCTTCCTCACATCGACTGTGCTATTTTAGTACGTCATTCACACGAGAACATCTCCTTTTGTTTGCATTTCAGACCATGTGATTTCCATTCTTGAATTCGCAGATGTTTTTTGGCCTGCAGTGGGGTAATTTCCTGCTGATCAAGAAGAAAAGGCAGGAAAACGATCAATCTCACAACACAGACAACAATCATATTGGCCAACTTTCTGAGAGAATCAATGTTAAACGAACCCTGGCCCTGTTGGAGAAGTGGTGACGATGATTTGCTGTTGCACCCGTATTGCTCATTGGATTTTACCAGGCCGGGGGTTGTAAGTGGGTACAAAGATCTATTCTCTTATACTCTTTTCTTCCTCTTGTTTACCTTGCTTGTCCGCTGGCAGCTGAATGTGGAGGCGTCCTATGAAATCCACAACATGCTTACGTCGGTCTTGATAGACCAAAGTGGCGCGCTGGCTGCGATAGCGACAGAAGGACAATTCTTTGATTACCTGCTCAGGTCCTTCGACTCAGGATCCAACACTTTTGTCTCTGGTACAGGGCCAACAGGAGGTATCCTCGGAAACTTGTTCTCGACAGCTTGGTATAACGGTGACCCAATCACCGCATCCGATTCTGGAATGCTCTACGATTACAACAAGTTGATCGGTGGGGTTCTGATCGTCCAAGAAAGAGCTTATACGGGGAATTGTGAGTATTCTGTCTACAACAATTACTATCCTGTTTGTTACGATGGTCAGCCCATCACCGCCATTCCGCCGACAAAGCCTTCAAATTTCAGCTCAAACTCGTGTGCCATTTCTCAAAGCAGGGTCGTTGACAAAGAGTCTCCCAAGTACGCACAGTACTTGAAAGATTTGGAAAACTCCAAGTACGGAGATCGGACTGTGCTGGAATCAGGCACTTACGCAAAGACCATCAAAGACTCTTTCGAGTATCGTTACGATCAAGATGGATTTTCAGTCTTCCTGTCACTCGCAGAAGGGCCAGATGCAAACCTTCAAAAGATAAAAGATTTGGAGACGATGAAATGGTTGGACTACCAGACTCGAAAACTTTCAATCAAGTTCACATTCTACAATGGAAATTTCGGTACCTTCACATATGCGAAGATTTCTTTTGATTTCAACAAGGTTGGATCGTAAGTCTGCGTCCATACTTAAAGTTTGCGATTGACCTTGGGTTGCTCTAGGTTTGTTCGCTACGATCCTGGTGCATCTTTTGTTCAGAAAGGTTTGCCGGGAGCAACCAGTGTGTCTATTGGAACCTTGAACATCGAACCATATTTGACTCAAGATGACTTTGCAAGACTTGCCTTCGAAGTAATCTTCATGGTGTGGGTGTTCTATTTCATTTCAGGCTATTTGGTAAATTTCATCATCGCTGTTCAGAGAAAACAGCTGTCTAAGTTTTTCAACATGGTGAGAAACTCAATGTCTCTTATTGCGACCACTGAATTGTTTGTGACCAGTGGGCGTTTCTTGACCTCATCAACTACTCGTGCTACGTCACTTTCATCGTCCTCAGGATTGACATCTTGCGCACAATAATCTGCAATCCAGTGTATGTGCCAACTAACCAGTACAACCCCATCTTCGAGACTCTCACACACAAGACAAGAAATCAACTGGCGGTCAACTTCGTATCGATTCTTATCGGAATCCTGCGCTTCTTCAAATATTACGAGTTCCAGCCCAGGCTGCAGATCATCAACAAGACCATGTCGGCATCACTCATTCATTTGTACCATTTCTGTTTTGTCTTCATGGCGATTCTCTTTGGATTCAGTTTGGTCGGTCATATCAACTTTGGAAATCAAAACCGCGACTTCTGCACGTTCTTCAACGCTGTTCAGGTATGAATTCTTTGATCATTTCCACCCTCCTCATCCTTGCCACAGTGTATGTGGGAGTCGCTTTGGGGAGCCTTCGATCTTGGTCCCACGATTGGAAACTACGATCTGGCATATATCAATCCTTACACTGCTCAAATCTTTTTCATCTCTTGGATGTTCGTAACAGGGATGGTGTTGATGAATGTGTTTGTTGCTATCTTGATGGACGGATACGCATGCGCGAAGGAGGAAGGCTTGATATCCGCCAGCAAGTCTGGGAAAGATGCGCCTGATGCAGTCCATGAAGATGTTCTACAAGCGCTCAACTACTTCGCCCGGGCGTTCAACCCGCTATCATGGAAGTATGACGAGGAAACTTTGATTTGCGCCATGAGGTCCGTCGATTCGCGGATCCCTGACCCAGTGGCAGACAAGACTCTGATAAAAAAGGAGCTTGACTTCTTGAAGGACACCCGAGAAGAGCTCTCGTCCCGCATCCATCATCTCCAAGAACTCTATCAAAAAGACTTCGATGAGTTCCCTTTCCTCCCCGTCTGGGATCAAAAAACTTGCCGAGTTGATGAGCTGGCACATCTGATCCCCCTGATCAAAACCAAGATTGCTGGCAGCGTTGAGCATCGCGAGATCATGTCAACGTACAAGTCAAGGTTCATCTTCAACATGGAGGAGGAGACGACCGCTGACAAGACCGCACACTTGGACTACGTCGAACGCCTGATAGCCTACCTCAAGGCAGAGAACCGAGTCCTGGAGACCAAGTTGTATTATGGAACGGACGGAAAGAAGGACGGGGAAATTCAGGAGCAGAATACGCAGCATTGATAGTGGAAGCATGGAGATAACGTCGCAACAGGAGGCAGAGTTTGTGGTGGTTGTTAAAGAGAGGTTAGCAGTTGACATTGTAATCGTAGTGTAGCTAGATAGCTTTTGAGGTTATGTGAACAAAATTTTTGACTTTTGGCAAGCCTCTTTGTGCACACGAGCAATAACCATTGAATTCATTCATGGAGACATTTGTATACAGCTAAGTCCATAGATTTAGTGAATCAACATGTGCTGCCGTCGTCCAGGCGGGACGTACTTGTTGCTTGAATCGCTCACGGCCCGACCAGCTCCTTGCTGTTCCCAGCTGTTCCCTTGAGGGAGCTGAGAATCCCGCTGGGCCCTCATGTCCATGGCCCCTGGTACGCTGCCGTTGTAGCCCCCGAAGCCCCGAGGAACCGGAGGAACCATCCCGTAGCGCCAGTCCGCGACAGGCGGCCGACCCATCCCCATGGTCCTATCTCTCCCGTAGGACATGTCGTCGAGGTAGGCCGGTGCCACGTCAGCGCGAGGAGCGGGAAGGATCGACGTCTCCTCCACGTGATAGTGTGTCTCTCCTCCTGACTGCCCGGTGAGCGCCCGGAGAACCGCCTGCAGATCGACTTCTGCTGACTTGCTGCCCAGCCCGACACCCAGCACGTGGCGGTCGACGCTCCTCTTGGCCGCCTCGCGCACGAGCATGACGGCATTGACGACTTCCCTGTCTGCTGCCAGCCGGATCCAGTTGTCGCAGAGCAGCCCGTCCTCGCATCGCTCGACCTTGCCGCAAAAGATGGCGACGGCGAGAGGGCGGGCGAGGCAGAGGTCGGAAGCGAACAGCTGAGTGGTGCGGATGAGCTCATGGAAGCAGATGAAACCGTCGCACGTGTCGACGTAGTCGAGCTGCACCACCGACTTGGTCTGTGCGGTGACTCTTGTGCCGTCCCTGAGGATCATCTTCTTCTTGTTCGACTTCAAGTAGACCCTCGCGACGTTGGGCAGGAGCCCGGAGCAGATCACGGCTCTGACCAGCTCGCCATGCCGATCCCACGTGCTCGAGTCCATGAGGAAGGGCTGGAGGGGAGGCCTGTAGCCCCTCTGGTTGGCATGATGAGGCGTCATGGCCTGCAGATGAGTCAGGAGGAACGAGATCAAGGAAGGCGAGCAGGAGCTGAGAAGAGGAGGGAGCAGAGAGGGGAGAGGCAAGGCATCACGACCAGCGACAAGAGGCAGGGAAGAGGAGGGATGGTACGAGGACGGGAAGGATCAACAGACCTTACAGACCATGTCCAAGACCTTAGTCTGGAAGCCCTTCATCTGGTTCAGCAGATTGTAGCTCAGCAAGTTCCTGTTGCAGAAGTCGTAGGCCTCGGCGCTGCTCCTGTCGCTCGCGGACTCGAACAAGTTCAAGATCTCCGCCGTCAGCAGCTGATCGCTGCAGCACCTTCCCGCTACTCTCAGCCTCGCCTCCTCCGTCCTGGGGTCGGAGATGAAGGGATCTTTGAATTCCCTCCCACACACGACCGCCAGCATCGGCCTCAGGCAGCGGAACACGGTAGAAAAGAGAAGCATCTTTGCAAGCCTCGGCTCCATGTGCATCTGGCAGAGCTTCTGGCCCAGGGGAAGAAGTTTCTGCTGCTCGTCGGTCGCCCCGAGCCCTCGGAGCGACTTGAGCGCAACTTCGATCTGCGACAGGGGAGGAGGATCCAGAGCCTGGGACAGAACCTGAACATGTTGTCAGCTCCCCTTCCAAGAACCACCTCTCCCTCCAAGAACCACCTCCTCCTCCCGTCTCCTCCTCCTCTCCTCACCTCCTGGCAGTTTCCGATCTGGAGAGCAAGTGTGCTCAGGCAGATCTGGTCGAGAGGAACGACCGTCATGTCCGGGTCCATCTCATCCTGCATCCCCGCGAACTGGCTGCGAGTGAAGAGACGGTAGCATACGCCCTCGCACACGCGCCCAGCTCGACCCTTCCTCTGCTTCACGTTGGCCTTGGAGGCCCAGGTGACTCCGAGCGAGGAGATTTGAGTGTGCGGATCGTAGGTCATCCGCTTGGCCCTGCCGGAGTCGATGACGAAGACGCAGTCGTCGAGGGTGATGGAGGTCTCAGCGATGTTGGTCGACAACACTATCTTCCTCTTGTCGTCGGCGACAGGCCGGAAGACTTCCTGCTGCTCCTGCGGGGAGATGTTGGAGTGCAGCCTGAGGACGACGAAGCGAGGGTTCCTGACGACGAAGGGATGCGACAGGAGCATCTCGTGCGCGGAAAGAATCTCCTCCCAGCCGGGAAGGAAGCAGAGGATCGATCCCCTGCGGGGGTCCTGGTCAATGTGCAGGATGAGTTCGGTGAGCATGTCGTAGTCGATGAAGTTCACGTCCGACATCGAGGCTACCGCAGCAAGCTCGTCCTCATCCAGCCCCTTGTGCCGCAGCTGCCGTACCGCCTCGCTATACTCGAACGTGGACCTTGCTCGTGTCCTGTTCCTCTCTAGCTTCTCCCTCCTCCACGAGTCGCTGCGCATGAGCTTGTTGCCGAAGGAGGAGGAGGAGGAGGCGACTGGGCGGGCGATGATGGTGACGTAGTCTTCAAGGAACTGCTCGGTCACGTCGAAGGTCCTCCCGGGGATGGTGACGATGGGGCAGGAGTCGAAGAACTGGCTGAACTTCTCCGCGTTGATGGTGGCGGACATGAGGACGATGCGGATGGAGGAGTTGTGCTGCAGGATCTTCTTGAGCATGATGAGCAGGAAGTCGCTGTTCACGTCCCTCTCGTGCACCTCGTCCACGAAGATGATCGAGATGTTGGGGATCTCCTGGGCGCCAGTCCGGATGAACTTGGTCAGGCGCCGGATCAGCACGCCGGTCGTGCAGAAGAGCAGGCTGCCGCAGGACCGCGGGAGCACGGACTCCTGTCGGATCTGGTAGCCGACGGTCGTCCCAAGGATTTCCACTCGCTCTGCTGCCACTCGCTCTGCAACTGACATGGCCGAGACTCGACGTGGCTGGGTCACCACACAGTGACAGGTTCCACCCATCCCCATGCTCACATAGTGATCGAACACCGCCTGCGGCACTTGCGTCGTCTTGCCGCAGCCCGTGTCCCCGCTGATGATAGTCACTCTGTTCTGCAGGATGGTGCTGACGCACGTCTCCTTCATCTTGAAACCGGGCAGCTGTTGCCTCCCCTCCAGGATCTTGCAGTACCTGGGGTTCTGCTCCCGCTCCTGCGCCAGCAGCGAGTGCTGCCTGTTCCAGAAGGCGATCTCTGACGGCTCGTAGACCCTTGTGGTCTCAGACTCCTCCTCCCCTGCGCCATGGTGACGGTGCTCGATGCTCGCGTGCGGGACGTCACGCAAATTCTCAGCTGCCTTCATGAGGTTCTCGAACTCAGCTTGAGACGAGAGGAGTGGAACAGCCCCAACGTCTCCTGCATGGATCGACTTGCGCGCTTCCTGCCTCGCCGCCGCCGTCTTCTGCGCTTTGCTCCCTTTCCCAACGATCTTCAACCTGCCCAACTGAGCAAGCTTCACGCACGCGTCGAGCGCGGCATATTTCTCTGCCGTCTTCTTGTTGGAGGCCTTGCCGTAGCCCACCAGATCTCCAATCATGCTCCCTCCCACGTCGGGGATTCTGACGGAGGCGAAGAAGACGGGAGCATGCGCAGAACCTTGGGACTCTACTTGGAACTCAAGGCCACCTGGGGCAGACGCGCATCAGCAACAACGTCCCCTCAGAAGCGAGGTGCACCTGAATGTTTGCCTACCGAGGCCTGGAGGTGACCCTTAGCATCATCAAGGGAGATATCGAGCGTCTCAGCGTTGATGTCGAGGTTGATCCCAACAGTCTGGACCTGCTCAGCCTTGAGAGCAGCCGCTCGCTCGTTCATCTCCCGCGGGCGATGAAACGACTCGCTCCCTGTCATGCTACTCTTGCCTCCCCGCGACCTCACGTTCCGCCCGTGCGGGTCGTTCCTCCACGGCTTCCCGTTTTCTTCAGCCAGCGACTCCCAGCTGTTCACAACGTTGCCACCCCTGCTCGACTCCTGCTCGGACCTCTTGGGACCGGCCCTGTTCTTCTCTCTCCTCATGTTGTTGGGCATCGGCCTGCCGTCGAAGGCGCCCAGGGACTTCATCTCGTGGAACGCCTTCTCAGCTGCTGCTTGCTCCGACGCCTGAACCAGCATGTCATCTCCTCCGCACGCCCCCGCTGCACTTGACTCCCTCCTACCTTCTTGTTGGGCCCCTCGCCCACGTAAGCGCAAGGCTGCCTCGAGACTGGGTTGTACAACTTGATGGTACACTGGAACTGGGGCCGGTTGAGAGGCCCTGGGAGCTGAACGATCTGCCGTGATCAAGGGCGTGAGAAGCTCCTCCTGGCCGAACCCAACTCACGTCAAAGGTCGCCGGGTTGATCTTCATCTTCGAGCAGATGTCTAGCAACGCTCCCTTGTAGTTGCCCGACATGATGTTCTGCGACACGAACTCCTCCCCCCTTTCGCTAGAGTTGCGAGGAGGGTTCCCGAAGCTCCTCCCAGGATCTCTCGGAGAATCCTCTCCCACCTGTCAGGACGTCAGGGTATGCTCTCGGCCAGTACCGCCCACGACTGAGAGCTCTGCAGGAGCTGGTTGACCAATCAAGGAACGAGGGGACGACATTGGGGTTGGGGGAGCGCGGGGGAGGGTCGTGGTGAGAGGAAGTCACGACAACAAGCAGGAAGCAGGACAAGGAGCAACGTCCTCCTTCTTTCTCTAACTCCATGGCCCCCACAAGAAGCTCACAGAACATTTGCCGAAGGATCGGGGGTGAGACAACATGAAAGGTCAGAATGTGCATGCAGGAACCGGCCGGCGAGGGGAGAGGGACACATCTCATCGGCAGGGGCTCGTGAATGCTGAATCACGTGCACACAAGGAAGAGTTTGCGACAAGGAATCTCTGCCATGCAGAGAGCAACTCCACACACACAGCAGGTCCAAGGCGGGAACTAACATGGCAGAGGGCATGACTCACCCGTCCGGAACGCGAGGATAGACCCCCATCTCTTGCTTCGGCATGAGGTATCCAGCCAGGCTCCTCCCACGCGTCTCTGTTCCACCCCCCTCCCCCCTCCCTCCGTCCCTCCCTCGTCCTCCTCCTCGTCCTCCTCCCCCTCTCCCTCCCTCTCCTCCTCCTCCTCCCCCTTCCCGATCGCCCCAACCGCCTCCTCCCTGCTGCATGCTGACTCAGCGCCCACTCGTAGGACCTGCAGCGGGCCAACCCCACGAGGCCGGATCCTCCGGCGTCGTAGCCGACGCCGGGTCAAGTGCCGTGCAGCTCAGTGACTCGGGCCGGGCGCGCAATTGAAGAGCATGGCGGGTGCGGGGAGAGCGACGATGATGGCGATGGGGCGAAGATGGATGGCAACCAGGTTCCGAAGGAAGGAAGACTTCTACACGAAAGAGGTGAGACGCGTGAAGGGGTTGGGACAGGGAGGCAGAGAAAAAGAGAGAAAGGGAGGATGAGGGAAAATTTCAATTGTGAGAGCTTTCTGAGGAAACTTTGACAAGCTCCGACGGCATCTCAACACGATATGTCGCATCTTGTCTTTGTGCTTGCTCACATATCACGAGTGAAGCTCATCATACCGGACAGCGCGTGACTGACGTCCTTAAGGCCAAGGCGATCGGAGCGAGGAGCCGTGCTTTCTTCAAGCTCGAGCAGATCAACGATTCCTACAAGATCATCCGTACCGGTGCTCCCCCTCGACCCTCTGCCTCTGTGCCGTCTGACGAGGGAGATCAGGCATGTTTGTCGTTGACCTCGGAGCAGCGCCAGGAGGATGGTCCGTCGCCGCCTCACAGCTGGTGCGGTGAAATGGCCGGTTTCCCCATATGCTGATGCACGCGGACCAGCTCCGGGCGGATGAGATCGAGAGCAGGCAAAGGCAGGCCCCGTCAAGCGGTAGCAAGTGTCAGCCCGTGTCAAAGTCCCTGACGGCTGATAAGGCCAGGATGTGGGAGGGGAAAGATCGAGAAGCAAGGGGAGGGTGATCAGTTGCGACCTGCTGGACATGGCGGGAGTATGAGGAGATGATGGCGTGCGAGAGGAGGACTGAAGATGTGAAGATTCCAGGGACAACCTTCATCAAGGGAGACTTCACCGATGACCAAGTCAGAGCAAGAGTGAGCACTCAGCGTTTCTTTGATCCCCGCCTGACCTTGTTCTGAACACTAGATCTTGCAAGAGTGCAGCGAAGGGGGCGGTGTTGATGTTGTCCTGAGTGACATGGCGCCGAACTGTTGTGGTAGACTGCGTGCCTGTGCATGGGATGAGGAGCTGAAAGTTGGGGTAGGCGACGCCCAGATCGACCACATGCGCATCATCGAGCTTGCAAGACTTGCCCACGAGTTCTCGTGAGCATTTCAACCCCCTGAAGTACATTTGTGACTCGGGAGGGTCAGGTTGTCCTGTCTCAAGCCCAACGGGAGTTTTCTCGTCAAGATTTTCAACGGAAAGGAGATGCCGGAGTATCTAGCCGAGGTCAGTCACAACTCTTCATGCCCCTGGCTCGGTTGACAGGAAGCGCGTAAAGGTGAAGAATACTTTCCAGAACGTTCAGTTCGTCAAGCCACCAGCCTCTCGTGAGTACCTTGAACTTTCTGATTTCATTGGTACATATGATACAGTCAACTCTATTTACATCGCCTTGTCTTAAGGATTCTCTCTGACGATGATAATCCCTGCAGGACCCGTAAGCTCTGAGATGTACATATTGGCAAGGAAGCTAAAGGCCAACTAAAAACTCACTGAAAAATCTCCGCCGCTGCAAGGATATCAGAACCCGTCGAAGAGGTATTCATGACTGGGATTCAACTGCATTTGTCGTCATCCCCTTCCTCGGAGCATGCGCTCAGTCAGTCTCACCTCCTCTGCACCGAAGTCAGGCCCGAGAGTCTCGTCGTACTCCTCGAACAAGCTGCACAAGACATCAACGGCTGCGCCATGGCGTCAGGCTCATCCCGCACCTCGTGTCGTCCTCCTCGTTGTGAGGAATGCGGATCGGAGCGTCCATGGTCTGGGTGATGAGCGACTTCCAATCGAACCCTGCTCGCTCCGTCAGGTCGCAGCCATCGTCATGCTCTCGTTGCCTGCAAACCAGCGATGAGCTCTGACGTCACCAGCTTCGTTCTTAAGATTTCCAAGTCTGTTTGACACGTCCACCTCCAGGAGTCGGCAGACGATGTTCCTGCAACGAGTCATTTCTCTGACTCCGCCCTTAGACGCGGGTACTTGGCGTGCGGCGAGAAAGACTTGGGGAAAGATACTTTAGCGGACACGATCGACTTGTAAAGTTCCATTCGGTCTTCGTCGTTGAAAGGCGGATATCCCGCAAGCATCTCAAAGATCAGAACACCCAGGGCCCACCAATCCACTGGTCTGCCATGGCCTCTGCTCAGTATGATTTCAGGCGCTAGATACTCGGGGGTTCCACACAGCGTCCACGTCCTGACCGCGAAATGTCATTCAAAGGTCGTCAAGCTCCCGATCGGGAGGGCGCGGTTTACTTGTTGCCCGGCTCCAGCACTTTGGAGAACCCGAAGTCGCAGATCTTGACATACCCGCGGGAGTCGAGGAGGAGGTTCTCGGGCTTGAGGTCGCGGTAGACGATCTGTCTGGAGTGAAGGTACTCCAGGGCTAGCAGGACAGAAGCAGCGTAGAACCTGCAAGTCTCGTCAAATACACGTGTGTAGATGATTTCATGTCCCCTGCCTTGCGGCGCTGTCATTGAGCATGGTTGCATTGCGCAGATGGGTGAAAAATTCTCCTCCTCGAGAGTATTCCAACACCATGTAGATGTACTTGTCGTCTTTGAATGAAGAGTACATGTTGACAACGAAAGGAAACGAAATTCGCCGGAGAATCGTTTTCTCCGACAGCACGTGATTCAGCTGTTTCTTCTTCAGCACAAGCGACTTAGACAACATCTTGAGTGCATAGACACGTCCCGAAGGTGTGTGCCTGACGAACCTCACTCTTCCAAAACTCCCCACACCTACCGCACAGAGATCACGGATCGCTGACAAGATCAAGTTTCATGAAGAAGTCTTACCCAACGTGCACTTGACCTCGAAGTCTTCCAGCGTTGAACCATGAAGCTCGTCGCGCTTTGCCTCTTCATCGATGATGTACTGCTTGCAGATTCAACGTGGAAAACGTCCCTTTGGGTTTCAAACTGCTCACCTGGGAGCTGAGCTTGAGCCCAATGGGCTCGTTCATGGAAGCCATACCAGAATTACGATTTTTGTTCAATATCAACGACATGCTTGATTTTTCTGTGGTTTCTAGAAAGAAAAGTCAGCAATCCAGATGATACTTAGTCGAGTCTGATGCCGTTTGAGCTAGCACTAGTGATGGTGAGAAGAACGAAACAAGATCATCATAGCAGCGAGGAAAGAAATCTGATCGATGACAAGTGAAGGAAGGGCAGCAAGGGAGAGGTACAGACAGGAGGGCATCACTGAAAGAGAGAAGTAGGCAGGGTGAAGCAAGAAGCTCGCACAGGTAGGAGCCGATCGAGCGACGTCGCTACCGGTAATTGAGATCTCCGCAAGGAGATTCCACACCACAGAAATCCTTTATAAATGATACATGTACTAAAACACCTTTAAACCCTCTCTTTCTGAAATTACATCCATATAAAAATCCAAAACAGATCTTTTCGAGAAGAAGGGTGTCTTGTGATCTGGCTGACGTGTACGAGCATGACAAGCCGGAGGCCGCAATTTGACCGTCGCAGGCTACTGACATCGTGTCCGACGGTTACGTTGACGGTTACTCTGAGCCTCTTCCCTTCTCAAGTCTGTTGCCCCCTGTGTTGCCCCGGTGGCACTGACTACTGGTCTCTGAGGCTAGCTTGCCTTGCTGGTGTTAACTCACTGAGAGTCTAGCGACTATCATCCCTCATCGGATGATCATAGTCAACCGTTGAACCGTCGCAGTGGTTGGTGAGGCTTGAACCGCACAGTGATTTAGTTGTGACTCCCGGCTACCGCACGGTCCTCGCTGGCAGCTTCAAGCTCAGGCTGCCCGGCCACAGTCGTAGGAGTAAACTTCGAGCCGCGGCGGTAGCGGTGGCGAAACTACACGGCACGGTCAATCATCAGGGCCCGGCCTGGGCCCGGCCCTTTTAGGCGGTCCTGAAAGCAATATTCGATACTCCCGGGCCGCACGGGCTAGTGCACGGTACGCCGCCGGTACTTCGGAGCGCCCGGCCGCCGGGCTTCACGGCGGCCACCGTCGCACTGTCAGTTGACCGAGTCTACTATGGTGCCGCTCAGCCTCACCGGGCACTCCTACGGAAAGTACCGTCGGCGGACTCCCGGGTTCGGGATCAAAGTTCGGAACCGTCTTGCCAGGCGAAAGGCGGAGGCAGCAGTTTTGATGATTCCGTGGCCCATCTCAGCTCGAAGAGCTTTCAAGTTTATTTCCAACACAACAATCAAAAACAATCAAGAATCATTCACTGTATGTACATGCGATCGAACGCGTTAAGGTACCTAGTTCCATCCAACTCTCGTCTCTCCATCCATAGGGATGACGTCTACCCTCTCGTCCCTGGGTGTGACTTTGACTGAGATCACCTCGTCGTTCTTGGGCGACCCATCGCCATCGTACACCTCGGAAAGAACTTTAGAGATGATCTCGTTGTGCAGCCTTCCTTTCTCCCTCCTGAGGTCTCCCACCACGATGGGGTACGACCCGAGTCCAGCTGACTTGGCGCCGAAGACGGAGGTGGAGAAGATAAGGGAGATGACGTTGATGATGGAGGTTGTCGACAGCGTCATGTTGATCTTGATGGAGATCACCATAGTCGGAAGAGCCTCGAAGAGGATGAGGAAGAGATCGCCGCGCAGTCTCTCCCGAGCCCTCTGGAGGTTCTCGATGATGTCGATGTGGGAGATGCCGCCGGCCTCCTGCGAGTTCGTCCTGATGAGGGAGAAAGCCTGGGACAGCCTCTTGGAGACTTCCTGCCTCGTCTCGTCGGTCTCGTTGTTCGGAGAGGACGGAACGACCTTGGACCAACTGGTCAGCGAAGGCTTCCTCTGGTCGAAGGAGGCGTTGGCGACGGCCTCAGCATGCTTCCTGACGAACACGTCGTTCTTGGTCGCGTCCTTCTGGATGATGATGTGACGGAAGTGGTTGAAGGTGAGGCGGAGGTTGTGGAAGGTCGAGATCCATCCGAGGATGATGAACAGGATGCACATGGGGAACAGGTCGACAAGCTCCTCCTTCTTGGCCACGAGGAGGAAGACAGACATGGTGAAGGTAGTGACGTCAGAAACGTTGATGATCATGTCTGTCAGCAGGCAGATCTCCTCCGAGAAGATAGTTGCCACCAGCTTGTCAAAGTCCAGCTTCCCGCTCTTGAACGCCCACATCAAAGAGGACAGGAACAGGAGGATGATGGAGGCGAAGGCAGCAGCAGTGATGAAGGCCGTGATACTGGCGCTGGGTTTGGGGGGGTCCAGGATACTCTTGCCATTGCACTTGAAGCTGTTGAGGATATCCGTGGCCTTGAGGTCAGGGTCGAATCCGAGGGGAGCCAGGTTTGCCTTGATGAGAGGGAGCGAGTAGTTGACGTTGGTGAACTTCCCAACAGCCTTGGGATGCCCGTACATCCACCCGATGAACATGGTCATGGCGACTGCAGGGTCGTTGATCCCGCAGTCCTCGTTCTTCTTGTCCGTCAGGGAAAAGGCTTTGGGAGCGATTACGTTGTATCCTTCCGACAGCGGGTAGCAGCCGTTGTCCACTGAGCCCTTGGGAAGCTCGTATGCCCCGTAAGAGTTCATGGTGTCAGCCTTGGCGCATCGGAGGACGGCGTCCACGGAGTACGAGATTTTCTTGCCGGTAGACGACTGAAAGTCAGCAACTTGCACGGTAGAGGGAATGTCGTTGAGGGGACCGAAGCCGACCGCGAACCGCTTCTCTCCGAGCACGCCCATGAAGGGGGAGTTGGACAGGGAGGTCTGGCACTGCCAGGAGTTCTCAGTGAAGCTCGAGTCGAAGGTAGAGAGGATCTCGGTCATGATGGCTCGGTCCTCCGATCCCACCTCGGGACAGATCATGTACATCTCCTGGTTCACGAGATTTGGGTTCAACGTTGGGTTCAGGGCCTTGAGAGCACCGAAGGTCGGCTTCTGTGTCTTGAGCAGCTGCGCCAGCGTCTTGCCGTCCACCACCAGCTTGTCAGTCGTCGTGTCGCACTTGGCCACCTTGGTGGCATCTCCACAGAGGTTGTAGATCAGCCCGTAGCCGATCCCAGCTGAAGTTCAGCAGCCGTCAGAACTTTTGTATGACGTCACTGTCGGATGCTCACCTAGGGGGATGACAAGTTGAGACGAAGTGCTCGCCCATGCCGGCTTTGACCCGCTGCGAACTACAGCGAAGCCTCCTCGCTGTGGGAGCATGTTGTTGTAGGCGTCGTTGGACTGCGACTCCTCGTACATCTTCAACCACCATGTCAGCTGCAACGATCTAGGGCAGCAAGCAAACTTACATTGAACGTGACAGAAGGGTCAACTCCGATGTAAGTGTTGCCAAGGATCCCAAGAGTGGTGAAGACGACTGGGATGGTGTGCCCATCGATGACTTTGACGTTGCTGTTGTCAAACGCCACCACCCCGTCGCACTTGATGTCGGCCTTGAGGCGAGTCAGGACAGTGTTCTGAACGATCTCGGGCAGAGGAGCAAAGCCGTGGGAGCGAGCCAAGTTCCTCGCTACCTCTGACGTATGAAACCAGATCCAAAAGTTCACTGTGGCCTTGCGGTGCAGGCAAGTAGCGCCAGTCCTCAGCGTGTTCTTTCTCATCACCAGGTAAGTGTATCCCACCATCGGCCATGCGAGCGAGCCCTGGGCGTTCATGACGTTGGCAGTCAGCCTCTCTGGAGGGTCCTGGTTGTTGCCGAAATCTGCCAGCCGAGCACAAGTCAGCCCGAGCACAACAAGAGCAAGCAGTCCTCACCTAGACCCATCTCTGCGACTGCAAACTCGACGGCTGCAGCCGAGGCTCGAATCGGGGTGCTGGACCCAGGCTTGATGATCATGGCGGACTTGAGCTTCAGCTTGAGCGCAACTCCCAGCACCGAGTAACCAATGGAGTAATCTGTTGCCAGGACGCCGGACGCAACGCCATTGTTCTCGTCGCGATACTCATAGCGGGCTGTTGAGTTCCAGACAGGCTTCGAGGAGGTTCCAATCTGCTTGGAAAAGAAGGTCGACGCTCCAGCGAGAGATTTCTTCCAGATCTCCGTCGTGCCCGAGTCTTCGTTACGGACAAAGACGGTGATCGCAGCTTGAAGCTTCTTCAAGACTTCTGCACCAACTTGATTTCCTCCCGCCACATTGTCGTTGTAGATGGCCGAGTCGTTCCAATACCTGAACACAAGAAACAGTGTGAGCAACGAGATCATCGGGGACGCTTCATTCCATTACTTGATTTGGCCCGAAAAGATCATGGCGACAGTTGCTGGAGTCAAGATCAGGTCCAGGCTTCGTGCTTCGAGCTCTGGAATGTTGTAGATAGGGACGACAGCTCCCGCTACCGAAGGATACATCTGCAGGTCTGGGTACTGAGCGTACTGATCAGGCTTCAACAGGGAATCGGAGCCGGCGAAGTCGATGTTGAAGGGAGGTCCGAACCCGTCGTCTTTCATCTTGTCTCCGAGCATGATCCTGTTCTTGCCTCCGCCTGACCCAGTGGGCAAGTACGACATGGACACAGTAGGGTCAACAAATTGATATGCGAACATGGCATCCATGTACAGCTCTTCGGGAAAAGTTGCACCGGCAGCATAAATATGCGTTACCTGGGAGGTGTTCACCGCAACTTCTGCGCATGTACAAACTTGAAAGGAATGAAGAAGAATAATTAAGAGGACAGGGAAGGAGCTCGTTCGAACGCCAGGCATTATACGCTTGAGCTCTTTCAATGTATTGTAGTCACGTCGATATCTTGCTGTTCGAAGCAGCTCAAGGTTCGTTCAACAGCTTTAGCTCGAAGAATTCGATCAGAGTAGGAGAGCTGGCCAAGGAAAGGGAGGCGTGATGGAGACGCGTAACAGGCAAGACGTGAAGGTTAAGAGGAACAAGATCGGGGAAGCATAACAGTTGAGGAGTAGAAACTGCTGATGGTGGAGGGGAAGGAGGGAGGGTTGGGAGCGGGGAAAGTGCTCAGGATCCGTAAGAAGCGTGAGGCTTTAGCAGGGGGTGGGTGTTCCTCTGGATGGGGTAGGGGGATGAAACTAGCATCAAGTACCCACAGAACTGTTATAAAATGAAGGGGTGGTGTAGGACTTTGTTGGAATCAACGGGGTGCAGTATTTTATTGCTGAGTCTTGAGGAGGGGGTCATAGGCTTTCATGGGGACCAATAGGGGTAGGGTAGCAAGCGACAGGGGTGAGGGTGGTCATTTGTAAGAGGAGTGTGGTCAGACTGCGATGTGCGAACACCCAACATCACCCCACCCCCAAAATGACTCCTGAAAGTATAAGAAGTCGAGCATATTGGTAGGGTGGGGTACGGATTGAGGAGTAAGTGGGTCAAAGGGAGTACATGGGTGGGTGCGCTTGAAAATAGGGGGTGGGGTGGGGGGTGGGAGGTTCAACGGATGTGTTTTTGCTGTTTTCTTTCTTTTTTGCTGAAACGACGTAGAAAACTAGGTAGATTTGCGAAAAGATGTGATTTCACGTCTAGATTGAAGTCGGAGCTCCCCTTGGAATAACTTCTCGCTCCTCTGGTACTGGGTAGAACAGGTTCTGGTACAAATTACACAGTACAAATAATAATCACTGCTGGTCTCCAGGGGAGATTGTATTGATAAGTACATTTCTATTATTGGTTGTACATGTAGTATACCGTCTCTGTAGAGTAGTCGCTTCGAATCGTACACCTCAAAATACTTTTAAACTCAAGATAAAACTTGATCTTCTTAAATGTTATCTTCTTAGTGATCTCAGAGGGGTTGACCTCCCCCTTCTCCCATGTCCAAGTACCCCTACATCCCTCCGACCACCTACCCTGCTGTTCATCTCATGAATTGTACCCCCACCCATCTATCCAATTCCGAAATGGGTATACCACCCCTCATTTTGGAAGTGTTCTCATAACAACCCACCACCCCAGGGTACCCTAACGACTCCTCGAACATGGCCCCCCTATCTACTTCTACGGCCGCGAGGACAACCCAGAAGACGTATCCTACGTTCCCGTCCCCGCAGGTACATGTGGGGACCCACCCCCTTGGAGCAGTGCCTGTCATGACCTAGAATATAATAATGATAGACCTTTCAATCACTCATTGCAACATCCAACCAACAATGATGTGATATCACCATTTGGGCGGCATGGACGGACGCTGACAACATTACGTTCCTCACGACTTGCAATGCTACAGCCAGTTTGGGCTCTTACATGGTGATGTTCAACACACCACAATCACGAATTAATGCAAGGCTGTAATTGACATTGAGATGGCAAACCAGTGAGATGGGTGCGTAGAAACATTCAGAAGCTTTTCGACAATATCTTGCAATGATATACAGTGATCATGATGACAGCAGATCAAGCAGAAAGTTGTTTTCATGACTCATATCAATTTACTCCATGTTTTTCCATACCTCGGTTGCTGCATGGAACACTGCTGGTTGAATCTCGGTTCCCAGGATCTATGTACGTTTGTGTTGAATTGAGGAAGAGCCGTTTCGCAAGCGGCTGCTATGGCGGATACCTTCAGCATCGACGAGGAACTGGCGAGCATCATGATCGACCGTCGGAGAGGAATTGTAAATATATCGATCGATCATCACTTTGTGATTCACTTTTCTAAATGAAAATCTGCCTTCTCATAGAATACTGACAGAGTAGAGTTGTACTTTCTCAGGCAAAGAACACTTGTGAATCATCCTACTTGTCTCACCACACACTGCAATGTAAACACAGCAATTCGTGTAACATGTATTGGTCATCCAGCGCATCAAGAACAGCCCGAAGCATGAAGCCTCACAGCTGGCTCATGTAGTCTAGAGCAGGGCACTTGTGCTGCAATCTTTCAACCCACAGGGTATTTAAAGAGGTGGAAGCAAAGCTCAATTGACGTACCATGATCATAATTTCGTTTCTTCTACTACTCTGAGATTGGCCTTTCCGACCGAGCGCAACCTCCAACTTCTTGAGGACCCAAAAAAATAAACCATCACCAAATCTTTTTTAACCACCCCACCCTTGGCATCACCCAATCATTTTCAACCCCACCCTTTGCGAGCATAATTAAAACCTCGTACGTCTCCTTGCGGCAGATCGGACGTAGGGCTTGCCCGGGGGGGCGTCCGATCCGGCAATTAACGGCCCGGTTGAACAAGATGCGTTTCATGTACCGTACGGTACTCGGAAGCGGCTTCTTAGCTTCTTCTCAGTGCTGACTTTCACAAAGTCAGCACTGCATGGGACCGTCGGACCAAGGATGTGTAACTTCAAGGCAGCCTCAGGCTCGCCGAGTGACCCGGTGGCCCACTGCGGCCCGGCCAGGCTGCGGCCCGCGGGGCCCGGGTCCGCCGCCAACTCACTGGCAGTGACTGTCACGGCCGCACACGCGGCACGCCGCAGGCGTACCTCACGGTACCGTGAGGTACCGTGGTGACGACCGTACGGTGAGCCTCAGAGGGCCAACGTCCGGAGTCCGTGACGCCGGGTGCCCGGCCCCGGCCCGGCCCGGGTTCTTTCAAAGTAACGCCCTCCCGCCGGAGTTTGAGAGCCAACTTCAAACGGTCACAGAGTCACGCCGGTCGCGGCATCTCGGATGATCTGCTGTTGAGTGGCACCATCTGCCACCGCCGTACAGTTCGCCCGGCGCCCAACATTCAGGCATGGAGCGCCGGTGCCTCAATGACTTTACCAGTTGCTCAAGCACATTTGTCGAGCTGCACTGCACTTTGTGCGACCCACTGGTCCGGTGGCCGGGAGGTACTGTTGAGCGGCTGATCCACAATGGACGGTATCAATGGACGTTTACAACAAGGCACTGAGTGAAGCTCTGGGGTGTTGAACAGGAATGTGAGTAATGCGCATGCCTCATGGGTTCTGCATTCTTGTGACACTTCCCCTGTAGTGAACACCAATCTTCGTTCAGGGCATTTATCAGGAATCAATCATGCCTGACCAACTGGCTGACCGTCGCCACCGCGGAGTCAATCATTACACAGGACCGATCGACCTCAAAGGATGTTTCGCATGCGATAATGACCTGCGGATGGAATGAAAGCTGTCATGCAATACATCGAAGACATCAGTAGCAAAGGCTTATAAAAAATGATAGCCGTTTTGCCCTGCAAAGAGTCATGTCCTGTGTGCAATTGCCAAACTTTCGGGACGCAGCACCTTTTGCTCATGACTGCATACAAAAAGATTGATTGACGGTATCATGGTGGTCAGAATGATCAACCATCCTTCGAGAAAATTCAACCAATGAGGGTCGTTGATCATGTACGTTGCGAGGGCATGTTGAAATGTTCTAATCATTACATTTTACTTGCTTTTAGTCGATGTCTTGGAGTGAGCTCCATGCGATATCAGGCTCTTGAAAAAGTTCGGGGCGTCCGAAGGAAGATAAGTGTAGCCCTGCAAAAGAGCGAGAGGAGAGAATCAGTTACGATAGTAGGAAAAGAACATCAGGACAAACCTCGTTCTCCTTGAATCCTTCTGTGAGACTCTTGTAAAACTTAGGGTAGTGCAGCTTGAAAGTGGGCTCATACCCTTCAAACGGTCGAAACACGGGTTTTGGCTTTGGAGTTGTCTCTTCCACGTAGTCTTGAAGCTTTCCTATGGTGTCTTGCATGGTCGGCGACAGAAGTGCCACCATCAAACGTGTGTCGGCAAACATTATCCCCCAATTCAGGTTATATCATAACCCTTTCAGATCTCTCTCACCTCCTTGCCTCCTCTTCACTAAGCTGTTCCTGTTCACTCAAGTGGATGGGAAAACAGATCGATCAGGCCTTCTTCATCGCGCTGACCACCATCCCTCCACTGCCATTGCAGCTATTCCCGGCGGACCCACCCACCCTCTGTCTGTTCTACAAAATAGTGGAAATCTGGTGAAGACTCGGGGGTGGGGTAGGGGTCTGTACCGGGAACGGTTCGCCCGGCCCGGCTGGGCCGGGCCGCACCCCGGCGGTGAAAAAAAAGGTTTCAACGGCAGTCAATCAATGGAAGCGGCTGGCCTTGTGCGATGCTGTGGCGCGGCCAACTTGCAAGCATGGCGACGAGCATGCAGTGCTGCTCAGTCACGGCAGTAAGTCACAAGTCAACGCCGTGACGGCTGCCATACTGTAATAAAGTGGTACCGGGTCAGCCATGATCCATCGCCACTGTGATGATCGGATGACTGACTCCGAAGCTCAGTGAGCCGATTCAAAAGCCATGATGCGGCTGTGCCTTCTAGGCTAGTTCGGATGATTTGCTAACTTAAAGTTCGCCGTGTCCACGGTCGCCAACTTGAAGTTGGACTTGAAGTTTCGGTTGTGCTGAGTTTACTGTGAGCCTTCAAGCATGTCATATAGAGACGACCACCTGTGCGAGTTTCGTGGAAGGTGCGTGAGAAACTTGGCTGCTCTCTCATGCGCGTTGTTTCGTGCGCTGACTTCATGAGTCAGATTGATACTTTTGTCCGAACACCACAAGAACCACAAACATCACCGAGCACATGCAGAGAGATCCGTCGAAGAGCACAAGGCGTCCAAGACCGTCACGAGCGAGTTCAAGGTGGATGCTGTCTCTCAGATGGATAGACCGTATCTCCCTTACATCCCTCAAATGACGCCTTTCGTCCGATCGCCCAGCTGTGAGATCGGCAGCGCCTGGAGCAAATATCGAAACCTACTGCTCGATGTGGGGAGCGACCCCGAAGAAAGTCGACAGACGCAGAGGATGAACGTGCTGTTCAACAAGATCAACGATCCCTCCAAGGCAGGCATCACGCCAGCCTCCCTTGTCCAAGGATTGAACAGCCTCGGCCTTACACATGTCGACCTCACAGAGGCCGACAGTCTCCTTCGAGAGCTGCTGAAGTCGCCGGAAAGCAGATCCGTTTCAAGAGAGGCTTTCTACGACTTCATGTCAGGGCTCTTGTGCGGGGAAGAGCTACATTGGGATGCAATTCCGCACATTGAAGGTGAGGTCAAGTACTTAGACTCTAATGGCCCGTCTCACATGAGAAAGGTGATGGCCTCAAAATCCTGCAAAGGAATATCTCTGCAAAGAAGGAAGCCGCTCGATTGATGCAGGAGAATATCAAGATCAAGATCAAGACAAACAAAGTGAGGGAAGCTGAAGGGATGGGGGGGGGGGCGAGAATGGAGGAGAATTAGGATGTGCAGGCGGCAGGAGGAGGGTCTAGATGTGCAGAGAGTGGATTGATCAAGTTTTCAGGAAGAGCTTTCAAGTCTCACCAAGGACATGAAATCCTTGCAGAAGAAGCATGGGGCTGCCAGCACGAGGGAGATGGAAAAGATCGAGAAAGTAAGTCTGGATTTCCCTTGCACGGTGATCTATCAAATAGAATTGATTGGTGATGAACAGAGGATCAAACGAAGGATGAAAGAGATGCAGATAAAAGAAAGTCAGCTGGTGATCTTGTTGGAGGAGGAAAAGACGGTTCAAGGCAGAAGCACGTCCCTGCTCCAAGAAGCCAACATTCTACAGAATCTGGTACCTGGTCATGGAATTGAATTGTTCCGTACTGTAACAAATCAACTTTCGCAGGCTGACAGAGTGATGCAGTACAAGAGTCTGGGAGCACACGTTGCAATGTAATCTGCCAACTTCAACACTGAAGACGGAGGCAGTTACACCTGGATCACTAACCTTCTGTTTTTTTGCTTCTAGGCTGACTTCGATTGAATCTGTCCCCCTTGCACATGGCAAGCATTCATCGACTCAGGATGAAGAGGTCGTTGGATTCATCATAGAGAGCAAAGTTGTTCCGCTTTCCAGCGCACAAGCCAGAGGTCATGACGACGTCTTGAAATAGGTCGCGACGGGTTCATGGACGTATGTCTCCTTTGAAGTGGAGCCTGACTGGAGGTGCTTTGAGGTCTTTCTTCTTGTACAATCTCAGCCTGCTGGCTGATTGCTGCTGCAGGTGGTTATCACTGCGTTGCACGGGACCGCTTACCTCTCGTTTGCTAATCCTCCTCTCATCTATCGAGCGGCGTCGGGCAGCCTCTTCAAGTCACCGCATGTGCTCTACTCGCCACGTTTGACCCGCACACAGACATCGAGGTCTTGGCGAGGGAGCTGATGCTGGCGGTCGAAGTGGATGGCAACGAGGGCCCGGCTTCCTAGTGAAGAGAAGCCTCGCCAAGACCGGCTACTACGGCATGGAGCACACAGTCAGGATACATCTCTCGCCTACAATCCTCCTCAGGTAACTGCCTCGTCCGAGAGATGTTGACCTCACCCTTGTCCAGCTGCTACCCGGGAGGCTTCGGGAGGGCCTGGCAAGGATCTTGGCATCTCGGGGTGAGGGAGAGAGTGCGACACTCGTGCTCGAGCAGCATGTCATTGAGCTGGAGCAGGTGCACGGGCCTAGCAGCTTCAAGATCTCGGTGATCTACTTCAAGAGTGGCAGCGAAGGGTCTTGATGCTGAAGAAACTATCCGATTCTTCCTGGTTGCTCCTTGCTGCACTCTTTTTGCATTTTCGATGCGAGTCCTGCCATGTCCACTAGCTGATGTTGCTACAGTCGTTCAGCTCCAAGAACGGAGCAGGGGCTCTGAGCTGAGCGCCTGAACGCCCTTGGCGGTTGAGAATCGCTGAGCCGCGCGCTTGAGTAGTGGGGGAGGGAGTTGAAGTAGCCCGAGGCGATAACCAGGACGCAAGAGGGGTGAAAGTCACCAGAGCAAGGGGGTTTGATTTAAGAAGGTGAGGGGGGTGGGTGGTTGTCAATACCGGTGGGTTGCTGTGGAGTTTGTGGAGTAATACAAGGTGGGTTGTCCATCAATAATGAATGGGGGTGGGATAGCATCGGAGACTAAGCAGGTAACCCCCTACCCCAACCGTTACTACCGTCATCAATGATCACCCCCCAAAGTGACTATTCTGACCCCACCCTTTCTATCCAATTTGTTGACCTTCACACCCAAGTACCCCAACTGTTCGATGACTATTTACCTCAACACCCCGACCCCCCTTACCTGTGTCCCCACCCCCTCCAATCCCTTTGCAAGCACCGGTGAGAAGAGGGAATGGAGCAGGTAAGACCGGTGCAGGGCTGGGGTAGGTTGTAACCTGGGGATGGGATAGGCCATGGCAGCGGCTGGTCAAGGAGGCGGCAGCAGCGGCGGATCCACCAGGCAGATCGGAGGAGCAAGCATGTGGGGAAGAGACGAAACCTCAGGAAGATCAGACGCCAACGTCGCTGACATGCGATTCCCTTCCTCTGTGCGACATTCCGATTCCCAACCAACTCATACCTTAGAGACATACTACCCGAAAATGTTGGAAAAGCTTGAAAATATGCAAGAAAAGCAGCGACAAAGTGATGAAATTCGAGAACAGGTAGTGTCAACAGGCGTATAGAGTCATCTCTCTGACGTTGGATGTTTGCAAGCTTGAAAGAGATAAGCGAGAACTGCAACGACAGTTGTCCAGCCAGACCAAGAAATTAGAACTTATGGAAACAGCGCTCGAAAACGAGAAAGAAAGCAGCAGAATACATGCAAACATTCTGAACGAACGAATTGATGCCTTGAAGGTGATTCCTCTCCAAAATTGCCTTGCATGACTGATAGTCTCTGTAGGATCAAATCCGTGCGCACGAAGAGTTGAACGAGAGGTCGGCAAAAGGGAATCAAGAGCTCGAGGTTTGAAGAATGTGATCCATGTGTGTGATTGAGACATCTTTGTGTGCAGCATAAAGAAAAAGAGATACAACTCTTAAATGAAGCCATCGAGGAGCTGGAGAGAGAAAAAGATCACGCAGTCCTCGAAGAGAGGAAACGATGTGAAGCTGAAACTGAGAAGGTTCTCAATTTCTTGGCCAAAACGTTGGAAGAACTTGAGATGGCAAAGGAGAAGAACAAAGAAGTATTCTCACTCAAGAAAGAAATTTTGGAACTCCAGACACAACTTGAAGAACTTCCGTATGCTCAGAAGATCTGCGATATCTATGCTGAATTCTTCAACTTTGTGGACAATTGCGCGTGTTTGAATGAGGCTGGTTCGCACAAGTGGAAAGAAACAGATCGAAACATTCGGATCCATCGCAGGACAAGAGTGGAACGGGGCGACCGATCTGCCAGCCCTTTTTCAAAAGCGACAGCAAGCCCACGCCTGTCAGAAAATGATCCCATTCTTGCATCGACCAAGGACAAATCTATGAGCATTGAATCAAAGGATTCTTCTTCAAAGGAGATGACGGATACGTCAAAAAAGCATTCTGATAATGTATCACGTGGTAGAAATCCTTGTGAGGATACATCGTGCTTGACATGTTCGTTGTTAGGACTTCCACCGAAATTTCCAAATGTTGCAAAAGCAAAACATGAAGGAAACAAAATCCAGAAAGGTGGTGCTGATTCAGTTGAAAATACTCCTTCAAGTTCACACAGCTTCAGCCTGGGAACGCTGGTAAATCTTTTTCACTTGCGATGAGACGTGTAATTCCCAATCATCAAGATCAAACGACTCGAAGAAGCACAGAACAGGCAAGAAAAGGTTGAAGAAGACTTGAACAGAGAAACAACGAAATGTAGAGATCTCGAAATACAGTACAAGGAACTCATCTTTAATTTCCATACGAATCATCTTTAATTTGGGATTGTACAGGCGCTGCTCCTTGGAAAAGAAAGGGAGATTGCTAATCTGCGGAAACGGATGGCTTCATTCGAAGTAAGATCTGTTTGATCCTTTCAAATTTCACGAGCTGTATCGTATCAGGTTAGATCGGATGCACCTCAGACAGTCTCTTCGAAACAGAGTGTAGACCCTGCAGATATTCAGCAAGACTCAGCAGCACCGCATCACTTGACGGAATCAGGAGACAACCAGTCGTACAAGATGGATTCGAATGATTTTCTGCAAGTGGTATCTTAGCTTCGTACGGATTTTTCTGCCTCTGACACATATTCGCTACGTGTTTTCAGGCAGCGGAGTTGAAACATTGTCAAGAAAAACTTGTATATTGGCAAAATGAATCAAAATATCTTGCTGAGCAGGTGTTGATTAAAGAAAATAGTGCCTGAATACTGTAACACCAATATTGACATTAATTTTCAAGGTGCGATTGCTTCAGAAGCAGTGTCAGGAAAGTTCATTACGAAGGAACGAGGCATTGAAACAAGTGCAAGATCTGCAAATTCGTCTGAAAGAGCAGGTGATCCAATCAGTGGCTGTTCTGACCTTGTGAGTGAAATTTTGTGCAATTGAAGGAGATAATGCATACATCGAAAGAAAGCGCTTATACTGAAGCTAGCCAGAAGAATCTTGACTCGTTGGAATCTCAACTGGAGACTGCAAAGTCTCAATGCAGAATTTTTTCAGACGAACTGCTGGATAAAACTTCAGAAATATCAAATCTAAAATCTCTGATACAGAAGTATGAGACAGATAAGTTTACAATTCAAAGGAGTTTCGATCAAAAACTAAGCAAGAGCAACTTACAACTCTCTGTGTGTAGAGATTATACAAAAGAGTTGCAAGATCAGATACAGAAGTTTTCAAACGAAATGAGGTAAGGACCGCTTGCGGTTGTTCCGATGCTGATTTATGCCTGCAGGAATGTTACGATTCAAATATCTGAGACTTTTCGAGGAACTTCTCAAAAATCATCTAACCCCTACATGCATGAATCACAAGATATGCTCAACACTACTTCTGCCATTTCAAATATCATGAACGACATGAATTACATACAGCGCAATTTTGACCGTCTAGCTACAGACATTCAACCGTTTCTGAACAGCCATGCAACAAATCAAAACGATCTGGAATTGCACGATCCAACCTTCAAACAATCAGATAAAAGGAATACAACCTCTCAATGCCAATATCAAGCACAAATGGAAATCTGGAAGAGGGCATTCAATGAAAATGCCAATAAGCTTGACTTCCTCTTAAGAATGATGTTATCCCAAAAGCTCACAGGAATTCAATGTCAAGTTTGTACAGAGATATCAGATTGCTGGAACGCCCTCACAGAATTGATGGATCTGCCACTCAGATTCGCTTGTCCTGGTGGTCATGACGTCAAGCTTTCTTCCGAGGTGCACGGTACGATCAATCACATTGGAAATGACATGCAGGACGACGTTGATCTCCATGTCCTGCCGGTGCACAAACTCTCAGACATTTGCGACGAGCACAATTACCAGGACCCTTCGCCTCCTCCATCGGAAGACATCAGGAAGGTCAACATTAAGTTGAACTTCTCGGAGCTGGATGAGCTCGGGTCCTCTCACGAGGGGAGGGAGAGGTCAGGAGACTACCGACAACGGCCCAGGCTGCCGAAGAAGTCGGTGGAGTCTGACTGCCAGCCCTCGGACACGTCAGCGCTGGTTGAGAGGCTGCAGCATCAGAACAGCGCCTTGAGCCACCAGCTGTCGTTGAAGAGTACCGAGGTGGAGATCCTCTACGGGGAGCTGGAGAACATCAAGAGCAGCCTTGGGAACGAGGAGTTCAGCATTAGCGACCTCCATACCGAGCTGTCAATCGCGGCAGTGAAGGCAGAAGCGCAACTTCAGATCCTACAGCTGGAAGAGCGGGTGACTCGATCCCTTCCCTCCTGCCTTCTGCTCGTCGGGGAGTGATGATGGTATGCTGGCAGGTGCGAGAGCTTGAGGATGAGAGGGACGACAGGGAATTCACTCCTCGGTACCGGGAGTTCGAGAAGAAGTTCGAGATCCTTGAGACCGAGGAGTCGGTGATCTCCCGCGCTGTGTCCCTCGGGCTGGTCGTGGACGGGAAGGTGTGACGTCAGCACATCTCGAATGCCCTGAACCCTGAACAGAAATTCTTGCGCTCAGGTGTTTGAGAACGTGCGAGAGTCGGTCAAGTCTCTGAGCAACCTGATCGTGGAGGAGGTTCAGTCCATGAACGAGATCCTTGAGTGGAACCTCGAGGAGCTTCAAGTCACAATCAGGTGACTTGTAGTCTTAGAGATGGTTGTGCTCTGGTGATCCGTTCAACTCTCAGGGAAAGGGAGGGGCATGTGATCGAGGACCTAGAAAGCATGAGAAGGTATTTCAGGTCGACGCATTTGATTTTCGTTGTGTTGACGTTGTTCGAAAGAAAATACGAGCGTGAAATTGCTGAGCCTTTGCAAACGGTGAGCGGACACGCATGGGATGTCAATTGAAATTAACTCGTTTTTCAGAAATTGCTGGAGGAACAGAATACAATCTCACAATGCAGACAGAGGAATGCAAAGCAGGACTTGTTGATTTTCTTCAAAGGTACTGCATGTAGATTCATGTTTTGTGTGGTAAAGGATTATGCAGATGTTCAACTTGAGCAATTCCGCTCAAAGTATTCGAAGGCTGTGTCGATCATCTCTGAAAGCTTTTCAACAATGTCAGAGCTTGCTGGCATTTATCAAGACTTGTTTGAAGCATGCGCAATCCAATCATCTCTTGAGACCGCTAAAAGGATGGTGTTGTCAACACCGACGAACCATGATGAAGAGGTGAAGGTCTTGTGCTCTTTTTGAGAGACGAGTCTGAGGGTTGTTATCAGAATCATATGACGGGGCAGAAAGAAAGAGAGGAGGATAATCCTTCGGTGAAGAACATGATTATGGAGAAGAAGAGCCCCCACAGCTCCGAAGAACATGCTTCTCCGCAAACATCAAGCCCGAAGGAGTTGAAACCTCTCATCGAGATTAACGACAAACCCAAGTCAGAGCTGACAGACATGATCTCTCTTCCATGCAAGATAGAAGTCTGCATCAAAACTGCGAGAATATCAGACAAACACGACATGGAGGAACTAGGTTTCCCGTACCTCATCGTTGTGTTGGATCACAAGAATGGTCGTTCGGCTCGTCGAAAGACGCTGATCGGAGAGAGCAAGATTCATACAGATGTTAAGAGGTCGCTTGCGAGGCTCGCAGCATGCCCCTGCCTGAGCCGATGTTGTAGGCGAGAACTGGTTGTCATCATGGAAGAAACCTTCAAGTTCGATGTCTTCAAGATCGATCAGGTCAGCAGTGCTGTCTGCCTCGCTTCTTGGATTGAACCTTGCAGTAGAAATTTGCCTTCACATTGTTCAACGGCCCTGGAGCGCATGCAGACAAGTCTAGCAAGATCCCGAAGATGATTGGTTGCGGCAACCTCCCGGTCGCACGTATTATGCATCAGGTGAAGCAGATGTCAACCCTCTGGTTCCTTGACATGCTCGCAGCTCGAGAGCGTTGATCCGACCTCCATCAGCCTGTCGGACGGAGATGAGACCATTGGGAACCTGTTTGTACAGTTTTCGTTTGTGTCTTCTCTCAAGTCATGAGTGATGTTGATCGTGATCGTTTCAAGAGATGTAAATTAGACGACTGGAATCTTAAAGTTATGAAGCGATGAATCAGACCTGCTGCGATTGCCGACATCATCAGAGCCTCAGGCTTGATATCAAGGAGCCTGCGGAGAAAGCCTCACACGTGACTGCCATCTGCCTTGAACTTCATTGCTGCCAGTTACGATGTTTACTGACCAGTTCTTGACTTCTGACCAAAGACTACGATCACCTGCCACCTCCGCCTCAGGAGTGACTCAGTCACTCAGCACTTTCAGGCTTGAAGTTACTCGGAGGCTTCCACTCACTGCCAGTGACTTAGTCACTCACAGTCTCGCCATCTGAGGCCGCGGGATTCCGAGTGCGGTGGCGCCGGCGGCGGCCCGACCCGCCCGAGGCCCAGGCTCACGGTACTCTGAGTAGTTACCCGGCCGTCCCGGCAGGTGCCAGCTGCCTGCAACGGCTGCCAGCGGCCAGTGGGCCGGGCCAGCCTCGGGCTCAGTGAGGCCCCGGGTCACCTTGATGTATTGTTGATACACCGTTTAATGTATCGCTCATACATGACCAACGGTCGAGTCAACCTGATGTTGAGTGATGAGCAAACTGGGATGTTGGGTGGGAACATGAAGGAGGGGAGACTCAGATGGGGAGGGGGAGGGGGAGGTGGAGGGAGAAGGAGAGGGGGAGGGGGAGGGGGAAGGGGAGGGAGACTCCTGGGAGAAGGGAGAGGGAGAAGGGTTTGTGATGATGACGTATTTGTCGTTTGAGATGTGCGACGGTGACCTGGCTGCTGCAGCATGGTCGACAGAGCTTTTTCCATGGCGGAGTCAGAGCCCGGCGAAGTTTCACACTTCGACCATCTGCTTTCGTTTCCCCAAGAGATCGCTCCCGTCTTCGACTCACTCACAGCAGAGCAAGAAGACAGAAGAATATTCGATTATGTCAGGAACAGGGAAGTTGGAAGAAACTTGGAGAGGGTAAGAGGAGGAGAACAAAGAGTTGAACGAGGTGGTCATGAGAATCTTGTAGATCAACGAAATTTTGGATCAAGCGACGAAGGAGAGGATTGAATCTGATGGTATGTTCTTGTTTCGATGGCTTTGCTGGAAAGGTGATTTTCTCTCTGTTGTCCATCAGTCTTGCTGGATAAATTGTACAGCACCAAACTTTCAGCCATGCAACGCCTCCTGACTGAGCAGATCGAGAGAGGATTCAAGTCATTACACGTAGTAAGGCCATCCTGCTTGCAGTCAAGTGACCAATGCGGACAGGAAGAGCTTGAGATATCGAAAGAAAGGATGCGGATCGCCGCTGGTATGAACATACTCCTCCGAGCTACTCGGTTCTCAATCTTTCTCGTTAGAGAAATTGTACCAACACGAGGTGGACGCGGAGATAGCAAGGCGGCAGTTGTATGATGAACTTCAAGCGAAGATGGACGGCTTGACTAACGTTGCTATTTCTCGCTCTCCTCTTTTCACTCACCACCACATGACAGGAGTTACAAACTGTCAGCGTGCATCGACAACAGCAAGACATTGACTTCCGCGTCAAGATCCCTCCAGCGGTGTAAGGATGAGAGCTTATCATGGAGCTCATTTTCGTCCAGGTCCTGTCAGTCTACCGCATGCTTCAGGATGAGAAGGACGTCTGCGAGGGTCTACAGGCAGAGTGCAGGTGATTCAAGGAGGAGGAAGGGGTTCGATAGAGCAGGAGAGGATGTGACGGGGACGGACAGAGAAAGGTGTCTTCCTCTTGAGCACAGCGACCTCAACGACATCGAGCATTCTGTCGCCCAACAGGTTGAGGACGTAGCCGCCGCGTATCTCCCAATGCCTGACAAGGTGTTCAGGCTATCCGACAGGAGATACACGACCTGGTGTCAGCGATAACCCAGGAGGTGAGAAACGTTGAACGCGCTCTGCAGGAGCTCAAGGATACTCAGGTGCATGATCGCATCGCCGAGGAGAAGGCGCAGGCAGCACGAGCACGGGCATTGACCGATGCCCTATCCCAAGGGCTCAAGATTGTGAATGCTTCCGCGCCCTTACCATGAGCGTCATCGCAGCAGTGAGAGCTCGCAGGCCAATAAAAGTGCGTGCGATCAAATACTTTCATTCTTCAACGGAATCGCGTCAAAAGGACACGAGAGTCATCAACATATGCTCCCTTCTTCATCCGTAAAGCTTGAGAGCACGTGGCGTTCAAGGTACCGACTTGTTCTGAGCTTGGAACTCTGGGCTGAGTCAACGGGTCACTGCCTGGGATGATAACACTGCTCTCTTGACTTACTCGTTCATTAGAAGTTCCTCTGGGGGGACGGCCGGGTGTGGAGTGGTGAACCACTGCACCAACACGTCACCTTGTCAATGCAAAACCTAAATCGACATCGTGCTCACATCCTTGCCCAACTGCTTGATCATGTGAAGCACACCATAGGTGGTTGCATGGATCTGACAAGCTCGTGTCAAAAATCGAGCAGATCGATGAGCTTTCTATCACCTCCTCGAGTTCGCCAAAACCAAACTCCTCTTTCATCTCCTCCTCACTCTTTCCACTCTCGAGGACCTGAAGAGTCAGTCAGCCGGCCGGTCAAGTTCAACACAGGAATCATCTGACCGACAGCTTCCACTTAGTTCTCTGTAGATTACTCTCCTTGAATGCGCTGTCAGGCATTTCCTCCAAGACCTTGTGTAGGCAGTATCAGAAACTTGTGTGTATAAGAAACCTCTCTGACAGCAACCTTGAGGAGGTATTTGCAAAGTTTTGTCAAGTCCTGAACAACGTCGGGGTTCTTCTCAAGACCCACGAGCCCTCCAGCCCAGTCTCCATCCCCTGACAGCATCTGGAGACGTATCTCGTCAGTAAGCAAACAAGATAATTTGACTTCTAGCGGGTTGAACAAATCAGAACACATGTTCATCGAGCAGAATCAATTCGCTACCGTTCCATTCTGAGCAGTGGCTCTGTGCTCCTTCCACAAGGTGGAGTGAAAGAGGTTCCCACGGGAGACGCTGAGGGAGCGTCAGATATGGTCCTCTGCCCAAAGCGAGGAGGGCGGAGCGATACCGGCTGGGATCGAGGTCGGAAAACGCAGGTTTGGAAGTATGGAGGAGACGAACTGAAGTTCAGCAAGCACCGTCACTGATCTCGTGAGGGAAGAGCAAGAAGCCCACCAAGCCCAGGGGAGGACCTCCTCACGCCAAGCCTCGACAATGCACGGAAGGCCTGCTCCGCTTCCAGTGAGTTCTGATGCCTCCGACCCTCAGCCTGATCTAGCGGTTCGAAGAGTCGAGATCGCAGTGTTTGACTGAAAGACTACATTCCAACCGTTGTATCCTTCTGTCTAGCTTACCAACTTCCACATAGACATTTCAAAGATCATCCCAATCAACTCACAATCCATACCGTTCGCCTAGTCGCTTCAATGGAGGAACGAAAGCTT